AGGTGACATGGTTCAAAGATGACGTGCCGATCGAAGTCGATAACGTCCACGTTCTTTCGAAAGAAGAAGGCACTGGTCACTTTGTACTAACCATTTACAATGCCACCGTCACTGATGTTGGTAGGTACTCATGCAAGGCATCTAATGAGGCTGGTGAAGCTCGCACTGAAACTACAGTTTATGTCACAAAGGAAACTGTGGCTCCGCAATTTACAGAAGAATTGAAATCATTGGAAGTCGCGAGAAATACGTCGTTCGAGTTGTCTGTTACAGTAACAGGAACTCCACAGCCGAATATTTTGTGGTTGAAGGATGGATTACCAGTGCGGCTGGACGATGTCCACGTCTTTTCCAAGGAAGAGGCTACTGGTCGCTTTACGCTAGCGATAAAAAATACACAAATTGCTGACGTTGGAGTGTATTCTTGTGTGGCAAGCAATGTGGCTGGAAAGGCTCAGACAGAAGCACAAGTATCTGTTGTTGAAGAACTAACTTCACCTCATTTCGTAGAGACGCTAAAATCACTTGAAGTTGAAGAGGGGCAATCTGCGGAGCTTTTCTGCAGTGTTGTTGGCAATCCTGAACCCGAGATCACATGGTTGAAAGACGGAGTGCCAGTGCAAATCGATCATGAACATTTTGCAAGGAAGGATTCTATAGGCGGTCATTCACTAATTATCAAGAAATTGCGTGTAGAAGATGTTGGTTCTTATAGTTGTGAGGCAGTCAATAAGGTGGGAAAAGATGTAACTATTGCTCATGTGAAATTTCCCAAATATCTTTTTGAGAAGACAATGATCGAAGATACCGTACCACTGTTCATTGAGCCGCTGAAGGAATGCTTAGCAAACCAAGGTGAGACGGTAATACTGGAATGTCGGGTAAACAAAGAATCTCAACCGGAGATTCTTTGGTTCAAGAACAATGTACCTATCGCTGTTGACCAACACATGATCGCTGAAACATTGGAAGATGGAAAAATCAAGCTAACCATTCACAATGTCAGTAAAGAAGATATCGGCGCGTACCGCTGTGAAGCTGTCAACAAGGCAGGAAGAGCTCAGACACAAGCCATACTTCAGTATGCGACCTATGTGAAAGAAACCATTGACGATGAGAGTGAACATGTTAGCGAGATTGTCACGGAGAAACTGGCAGAAATGGGTGAATTTTTTGCTTTATGTAGTATACGATTAGTGTTAGCATGCTTTTCTCATTTCACTAATAGCACTGCCGTGGAACAGAAGTAATTATTTATACTTTAGCCGTGGAATTACAAAATTACAGAGGGGTATGTTTCCAGCAGCAGCAGAAGCAAAGGTCGGTGGAGGCCCTGCTGAATTTGTTGAGTTATTGTGTTCATGTACGGTAACTGAAGGTCGGCAAGCAGTGCTGAAATGCAAAGTCAAGGGCGACCCAAGGCCGAAAATCAGGTGGACAAAGGATGGAAAAGAGGTTTTCGAGAACATTTTATACGTTTCATTCTTACACAAATATTGGCAGCTAGTAGTTTTCTTAAGATTGAAGGAAATGATTGTCAGGTGGAAATGACAGCCCGAATTAGATCTGATTACAAAGATGACGGCAGTCTAACACTTACCGTAGACGGAGTCACGCAGCAGGATGCCGGCGAGTACAGGTACTTGTGTTCGTGCCACAGTTTAATGTTTGGTTTTCTCTTCCGTTGAGAAATTCTTGGTGCTTTTAACAAACTACACAAGCATAGTTTAATAATGCTTACTGGACGAAGCAGAAGACGGAAGGCTACATGTTATGGGTTTTACAGTAAAGAAAAGAGCAAGTCGAAAGCTGTTTTAGAAGTTTTGGGATAAAAGATGCGGGAAAACAATGTTCTATAGGATACTATATTGCTGATTACAACACTCTGGGACCAGTTAGCTCCTCGTCTATTGCAAAGTTTGTCAAGTAGTCCGAACCTCTTCTCTTGAAAAGACGTCTAATTTGAATATCAGCACAAAAGTCTATGGAACGTGTTGAACAGTACGTCTTTAGCAATTTTTATCTGGTGATTGGAATCGATGTTTTATTATTGGGTAGACATATCAAAGAATATTAGCAGCAAACTGGTCGTTTATGAGCTGCAGAGTTTTATTTTTTTTAATATTATATTATTGGGGCGCGGTAGCAAAGTGGTGGGAGACGCCGTGCATCATACACATGGGATCGATTTCCGCGCTCTGGTCCCACCAAGCCCTTCATTCTCCCGGAGTTGGCAAATTGGTACCAAACTTATCTGGGTGGATAGTGGCACTGGCTCGATACCTTGGTGGCCCACCGCGAGTCATTGTAAAGGCCAGATGTGCATTCAGTAACCTCCAAACGATGTTCGATGAAATCGAACGCATGGTGTATCCCTCAGGGATTGATCAACGCCGAGAACTTCATCGTTTTAGCTTTTATTGCATTATTTCACTTTATTATAGTAATATAATTTTATCATTATATTTTGGTTTCCTTTCGTCCTTCACTATTTTTTTATGAGAAAGCATTAGGTTATTGTTGTAGCACTTATTGATTCACAATAGCTGACGTTTCGGCGGCTTCGCCTTCCTTATTATTCGCTTTATTTTGTTATTTATTGTACTGCCTTATTTTAAATTGGAAAAGAAGGGAGTAGATATCTAGCATACTAGGAGTCTTAGAAGCCTGCTTGTATGTAATCATTTTATGAAGAAAAGGAGGAAAACTTTGGCTAGGCTGACGTCGGGAGTTCAGGGAACCACAGTGGCTAAACCAGGAAATCTCCGAAAAAATGGAAATTCTGCTACGGTCCACACAACCACTAAAGACGGGCCATCCTATTATCCAAATAGTTTTATGAAGAAAAATGTATCATATTGGAGAATATTATTGCTAAGTTTGTATTAAAGCTCTACAAGACTGTTTTAATTCGATGTCGAGAGTGCCCAAAAGTTAACAGCGACACCTTCGATAAGACGTATAACTATCAAGAATTATCTGATTCCCTTAAAGGTTTCTCATTTTACAAATTGGTGCTTAGAATAACAGCTCTGGATAGAAAAGTGTGTATTAGTCAATATTTTTTCGTGCTTAGAGAAAGGATCTTCCTAAGATGATCTAGTGATGAAGGCTAGCGTGGTTCATCACGTCAACTACATTCGTAGGAGTTAGAGGTTCCTGTGAGAAATGTTGCTGAGATATGTAGTGCAGTTGCGGAATTACGCCGGAAAAAGAATAATTTGTTTCCAATAAATGCTGGATTCCCAAATCCCACTAAACGTAACGGGCCTGTGCTACGCTTCTACACGTCAAAATTAACCACCGACGTTCCAACAAAGGACAGTAAATGTCTTTCCTCATGACTAATTTCGTAGTGAAATCACTCATTTCGTAGTTAAACTGTAACCTTCAACTGCATTCGGCAATTTTGGATTTGGCTCGTTCCGACTGTCGCTTCTCTTGGTCATTTAAGATTCATCTAGACATTTTTGGCGAAGAGGCGCTACTTGGAAGTGTTATTAACCACTTGGCTTTATATTCGCCAGTGTTCTTTGTGCACAAAGGGCACTGGACAGTTCTCATAGCATTGGCAACCATCTTTTGGATACTTACGGTAGATATTAAGTAGCAAATAAAGCTGCTGGATTCTTGAAAATTTGCTTGGAGTTTGAAAACAAGTTTTCCTAACTTAATGGTTGCGTGTTTCATATTTTACATCATTTTCCCATATCGTTTGGAATGTGGCCGTAAATAGGTGGTTCTTGTATGAAATCACTTTTTTTTTGAAGGCGTTGGTAGTTAACTTTGTCACATGAGAGGCGAAGACGCTACAGTTTTTGTCCACTTCAGATGTCATGCAGAGAACGAGCACGGTAGCGCTTGGACTGAAGGTCCCATTGTTGTGGTTGCATTCGGAGCACCTCTACAGGAAGGAGAAGCTCCGGACTTTGTACAACCTATTCGCCCAGTGTTGGTGAGGCTTACTTCTTCTTGTAGTTGGTTTTGTTTAAGTGTCATGTTTAAGATCAACAATGTACGTGGTATTCAGTAAGGCGAAATATGAGCTTTTAAGTATCGTGAGTGTATTCAGGTTGCGGAAGGAGAAACAGCTGTGTTAGAGGGAAAAGTATCTGGAAAGCCTAAACCTTCAATTAAATGGTTGGTTTTCAATTCTTCCACTGTTAAGCATTCCAAACAGCGATATTTCTGGAAAACCAAGCTTAAGTGAATAATTAAAGATAAGGAACCAAACTATTCAGTATAACTTTGGCCAGTTCAGAAGTTTTCTTTTTCCTTGTAGGTACAAAAATGGCGAGGATGTGAAACCTTCCGACCATTTCGTGATCGAATCGCTTGACGACGGAACTCAACGACTGACGGTGAAGAACGTGACCATGGACGACATGGATGAGTATAGATGTTCGGCGTCGAACGACTACGGAGATGTGTGGAGTGATGTGACGCTCTCCGTTAAAAGTGAGTTTGTTACAGCAGTAGATAGGACGGGGGCAACAATTCGGAGTTCAAGAGCTCTAAATTAGTGAAATAACTTCACGAAAACTTGAAGGCTGAGGAGAAAAGCTTGGTGTAACCATCTGAAAATTTTTCACCTGAATTGGCTTTCATGATTAATTTGAGAAAACCTTTAGAGAATTGAGTACATTATATTTAGAGGAGCCATTATATTTATTACTGCAGAGAAAGAACAAGAAGCACCGTCGTTTACGAAAACTCTTGTCGAAGTCTCTATCGTAGAGGGCGAATCGGCTACCTACGAATGCAAAGTTACTGGGGAACCACGGCCACAAATCAAATGGTTTAAGGTGTGGACGAGTTTCCTATTATTTCTTGTGTAGGCCAAGGTCCATTTCTTAGTTTATTAATATTAATAAAGAACTATCACTTATTTGTTTTGAAGCTATTTTCTAGTGTTCTGTTCATTTGACCATCCCCTATAATTTGAATATCTATCAAAAACGAAATACATCGCATAGGACAACGATGAAATCTCCACAGTTGATGGACATTTCGCGCAAACAGAAGAAGCTGACGGTACGGCTCGATTGGTTATCAAATCTGCTAAGGTATGTCGCCTTAAAACTTGGCGGCACTAGGGAAAGTGAGAAAATACACGGTAGATATGGCGTCAGTGGCGTCAGTCAAGTCGCTTCTTAGTTTTTTTGGACTATTTCTAGTGATAGAAGCGATCGATGTTCAGGTCAAAGACTCAGGTGAAATTCGCTGTGAGGCTAGTAACACTGCCGGAACCGCTCGTACTGCTGCTCCACTAACGGTAACACTGCCTGAAGAGGAGGTGAACTCTGGGTGGTATTTTTTTTTTGGAAGTCATAAAGATCATGAGCTCAACTCGTCAAAAAACAAAACATACCGTTTATGGTTTCGCCAATAGTTGGTGCTGCTTTCTTACACGCACAAATTTCTTTTCCAGATTGCTCCTGAGTTCACTCGAGATTTGACTGCTTGCCAAATTATTGAGGGAGACGTGGCACGTTTCGAGTGCAAGTCTGTTTATTTCTTATTTAAATGCCATCTTAAACGTTTGTATTTTCGGTAATCTGTAGTATTTGTAATTCCATTGTAGAGAGCTTTTATGTTTTTATCACTAGATTAGTTGACCGTAGTTCGCGTTTCAATAGTAGACAACAGAAAGTGGGTAATTAATGATAAATGATCGTATTTAGGGTGAAAGGAACACCGCTCCCTCTTGTCCAATGGTTTAAAGATGGCGAAGAGGTTAAACCTGGAGATGGTGTGACAATAGAAGCGTTACCTGACGGCACAAACAAAGTTGGTTTAGGTTTTAGTACGCCGGAAAACGTAGCTAGCTGGCGGAAAGAATCTGAGGAGAAATGTGAATGTCAAAAAAATTGATCGCCTCCAAACAGTGTTATTGGATTCTTTCTCAGTTAACCATCAATGATGTGAAACTGACGGATCAAGGCAACTACCGAGTGGAAGCCACGAATGTAGCAGGTTCGATGAGCAGCAAGGCTCCGTTGTCTGTACAAGGTACTCAGATAATTTCAATTCCTTTTTCCTGAAGTGTCAGCAAAAATCGAAACAATTATTCCAGCTCCGGAAACACTCAAACTTAGAAGACCTTTACATGACGTCACAGTGGAGAAAGGCACGAAAATTCAGTTGACTGTTGAAGTTGAAGGACAGCCGAAGACAGTTAAGTGGTACAAGGGATCCAAACAAGTCACTGCTACGAGGTAGGCATTTCCTCTATTCACTGTAATGTGTGTGAAATTAAGAATTAGAAAAACCGTGGCACTCGATCTGCACTGAAACGGCTAATCGTTCTATCACATATAATCAATATATAATCAATTTTGCAAAGTTTGAGGAATGTGTGCAGATTGTTAAGGTCTTTAAGCAATTTTAAAGATTCCAATTACCTTATGTTAAATTTTGTACGGCTAGAATTCTTATTGACTATATTAATTTATAGTACTACCAAAATCGAGCGTGTTTCTGACGCTGAGTACAAACTTGAAGTCGAAAACTGTGAAACATCCGACAGTGGAGCGTATCGTGTTGTTCTTTCAACTGAAAGCGAATCGATAGAGTCGAAATGCGTGGTTACTGTGAAAGAGAAGGACATTAAGGTACGTTTCTCTACTCCTCTTCATTTTTATTTTTTACAAATCAACTGTTAAAGTAACGGCTTTATTAAACAGCATTTATGAATAGGCATCTTACTTCACAAACATTGTCAAAAATTAAATTAGATTTAAAAACTAAACTTAAAACTAGATTAAAAATTTACCTGTGTAGATGCAACTTCCGTCGTTCAAAAGTGGACTCAAGGACCAAACTGTACCGAAAGTAGGTTGATTTCGTTGTTGACGACGATTCGAAGGAAATGATTGCAGAATTAATAGTGTAGTACATATAGACATAAAGTGTCCCTCAATATGAACCTTTAGACGACTCATATTTCAGGGACAACCTCTTGTACTTGAAGTTGAAATAGAAGGAAAACCAAGAACCGTTAAATGGTACAAAAATGGTGACATTTTGAAAGACGCAAAGTCTGAAGATCTAGGTGATGGAAAATACAGACTGACAGTTTCTGATGTGAGCTTTTTTTTCTGCAATTTTCATACTTCTCATGAAAGAAAGTGCAGTGCAATGGGTAGTGTTACACCGTGATGTCCACATCGTCTTCTGTTCCACTGCATTACCCGGGCAAACCAATCGAGGATGGAACATTAGTTTCAGGATTTGATAAAATCTGTCACTTGTTGTATGGCCCAAATGTGCGTTCAATAACCTCTGTGCTGTCACTAATAAGATAGAATGCTCAGGGCAGCTCTAAGTGATTAGCCAACAGTGATTATCCCTGATTCTTTTCTGTGTGACTTCGTTAAACCTCAAAATCGGCACTCAAATTTTGAAGCGATTCCAGTTTTCCTGCTTGAATCAGCCCATTATGCTTTTTACACTTTAGATTTAAATTTCAAATACAAACCTTTGCGAATGCTATCTCACTCATGTGGCGCTATAGCCAACATGTCCTTTCCGGCGATTTATTCTTCTGTAGCAGAGCTCTGAAATGGAGAAAAAAATTAGCAGCCTTTCATTTGGAAATTCCCACTTTCCTTTGCCTTGAGAAAGTTTCGATACATTTTGCAAATAAATAGTTTTAACTTTTTGTTGTTGTTGTTGTTTACCCATAGTTATATATTTTTACAGTTGTATGTTAGCCAATATCCTGTTGCAGTTCAAAGAATCAGACATAGGCGAGTACAGCGTCGTCGCTGAAAACGAAGTTGGAGAAGTTGAAAGCAAAGCTAAGGTGACTACAATATGGATGTTAGATCTTTTCATTAGCCTGTGATCTTCAAAAGTGTTGATTTTCTATTATTTATTGATATGATACCACACTCTAAGCAGTTATGCACAGGTGAGTGGCTTTATAGCAAACAAACATGTAGAAAACTTCAGTGCTCGAGAAGGAAAATAATACTAATAAGAAGAAAAAATGACACTTTATTCAAATATTCTGAGTATTCCTAACTTCACCTAGTTTTTCACCTTACAGGTCACCATGAAAGAAGTACCTGATGACGGAAGAGATAAAAGGAAACCGAAAATCTTGACTGGTCTCGTGCCAACCACTGTGAAAGAGGACGAAACGGCTACGTTCTCAGTTCAAGTGAAGGGACCAGTCAAAACTGTCAAGTGGTATGATACTTTCACGTTATTGCCGAGTTTGGTCGCTCATGTCTTGACTGTATTACTTTTTTCAGGTATAAAAATGGAAAAGAGATTCTTGACGCAAATACGAAGGACAGCGGAGATGGAGTGTTTCAGCTCATTATTCCAAATGCGAATAAGAACGACACAGCTGATTACAAGGTTAGTGTTTTGAAGAATTTTTTTTAACTTGCGTAGTAGCCTTGTCTTTAAAACCGATCAGGTAAGTTACATCAACTGAGAGCTCAGTTGATCTGTTTTTTGAGCTTTTAACTCAAATATCAATTTATTACATGACTTATAATTTTCCGGACTTTTTTTCAGGTAGTTATATCAAATGATGCCGGTGATGCTCAATCGGCGGCTGCACTGACAGTGAAGTTACCTCAAATTGTGATCGTTAAAGGTCTAGAAGACATCAGTATAGACCGGAAGCAGACAGGTGTACTTGCAATTGAGACGAATCGGCCACCGAAGCAAGTGAAATGGTAACCATAAAGCAAATTGTGATGATGAATTAGTGAGGTTCATATTCCTCCTTCATTCTCTGAGTTTGAATATTTTTTAGGTATAAAAATGGGAAGGAGATCACACCTTCTGACAAAGCTGTTCCAAAGGAGATCAACGACAAAAAGTACCAGCTATCTATACCTGATGCTGACAAGGACGACACTGCGAACTACAAGGTATCATCAACATCCTTGTCGTGGTCCTATTAAATTCAACAGCGTCGCAATAAATGCTTTTTTTAAAGTAGGGATATATAATTTCCGTACTAAATTGAAGCGAAATTACATATGTAGCGGACAGAACACTTTGGATTTAAGCTGGAAGTGATGCTCGTCTAATACTAGCAAGCACCGGTTCGACCTATCCTAACGGTCACCAAGCTTTCCATTCTTCCGGGGTTAGGAGAATGTTAACAGGTTTTTTTCGAGTCAGGTCGCTCCTTCTAATCCCCATAGGCTGATTAATGCATGTGGTAAAGATCTGGGAGCCCCTTAGCGTGGCTACTCAAGGAATCCTTGCAGAGTCAACTTGACAAGCATTCAAAGACATTCATAAAGAGAACCGAAGGTCTTCAAGCAGCAACCAAAGCCACATGCAAATACGATGACCCTCATAAAATACGGATGCGAGAGTATGGACCGAGTGCAAGAGTGCTTTGATCCACACAACGATTGGTGTTGGGTCTGCAAAACGAAACAAAAAAAGCTGGATTTTAGCTGACTACGAAAACTCAGGAGCGTGTAACCTCAGGAACAGCGGATTTTAGGTTGTTCTCACTGACGATGACGGTAATACTACCGAATCGGCATGTGCTCTCAATGTTAAACTGCCTGCCGCAATCGAACTCGTCAAAGCTCTTGAGGACACTGTTGTGCCCATAAAACAGACTGGAGTGCTGGAAATTCAGACGAACAAACCGGCAAAAATGGTTACGTGGTGAGGTTTTCATTGGAATTACTTGAGTGTGTTAACTTTCAAAACGCGAACAAGGCACAGATGGTTGCTGGATTTTTTTCTGAGTTTCAAATCTGTACTCATCGTAGGTACAAAAACGGTAAAGAGATCGCGCCATCGGACAAAGCCGTGCCAAAGACGGTCGCCGACAACAAGTACCAACTGTCGATTCCCGATGCCGACAAGGATGATACTGCGACCTATAAGGTTTCATCTATATTGTGGCCTTATCAAATTTTTTTTATTTCGGCTTTAACCATTTTTTGTTCTAAATTGGGCTATGTATCATAGCTATGTTTTAATGGACAATGCAGTGATATATTCCCTGGACCATTTTTCTTCTCATTTATCGTCGATTGACTCTAGTGGAGCTTGGCAAGGTTTCTATTTCTCCCTGTCATGTGCAGATGAAACCCAGTTAGCTTTTTACAGAACTTCTTTGCTTTAAGGCGTTGGTGGGCATCATATTTTCCATTTAGTATCTTCGTCAAGATTACTGACCATCGATTTTGTGGTCATCTAGTGATGTGTTTGATTTTACACAGATTCTAGTCACCAACGTTTCTTGGTTTCTGAGATTTCTGAACCTATAACGCACTGGTAGACAGCCTATGTAATCCACAGTTTGTCTCGGATACTAATTTTTTGAGAACTCAAATAACTAAAGGAACGAGAAATTTTCGTAAGTTCCGCTGTAAGTTCACTAGTACTTCGTTTTAGATTGTTCTTACCGACGATGACGGTAACACTGCCGAATCGTCGTGTGCTCTCACCGTGAAACTGCCTGCAGCGATTGAGATCGTTAAAGCTCTTGAGGATATTGTCATGCCCAAAAAACAGACCGCAGTGCTTGAAATTCAAACCAACAAACCGGCAAAAGTGGTGAAATGGTGAGAGATTTCACGATTTTAATATCCGGAATAACAAAAGAAGACAACGGACGGTTGATGGCTTTTTTTCTTCATTAGATTTTGAATCTGTATTCGTTATAGGTACAAAAACGGCAAGGAAATTGCGCCATCGGACAAAGCCGTGCCCAAGGCGGTTGCCGACAACAAGTACCAACTGTCGATTTCGGACGTTGGTAAGGACGACACTGCAAACTACAAGGTATGCTGACCATTGTGCAAGATTCTACAAAATCTTGTCCTATTTAAGATAGCTGCTACATAAATAACTTTAGAGATTTGAAAAAATTCCAAGAACAAGCAGAGCACAGTCTGTAATGGGTTTCTTGTTGCATGTCAAACACAATTGCTGTTAATGAACACGTGAACTTCTAAGGTCATTCCACAGTCCCATCGATGGTTTAGTATCGCAGTCGAGTTACAAGTTACGCTAAAAGAGCTTATACGGGCTGAAAGAGCTTAAAAGAGCTACAGGTCTCTGTTGTAATGATGGCTGTTGTTGAAGTTGAAGAAGGAGATAGATATGTACAATAATATCAGTTATTAAAAACGGCAGGATCCCAAATATTCTAAAAGTTTCAAAAATCATAAAATTATTCGTTGCATCGCAGCTTACTTTTTATTACTGTACACTAAAATTCCTGATGGAATTCTTTCGTAATCATAAAACAAACGGTACTTTTCCAAATATTTGAACTTAATTTTTTTTTGCTCACGGTTTCTCTGTTTTCGATCTTTTCTTTTCTAGAGATGAGTCCAGCTTTCCCTTCGAGTTTAGTTTTACGTTTGAGAAGTATAGGAGAGTTTCAGGTTGTCCTTATGGACGATGACGGTAACAGTGCCGAATCATCATGCGGTCTTACTGTCAAGTTACCAGCCGGGATTGAAATTGTCAAAGGACTTGAGGACACTACTGTACCGAAAGGAAAGAAAGCCTCGTTGGAAGTTCAGACTAATCGCACACCTAAACAAGTCAAGTGGTAAATGTTCTTTGGTTTTTTTGACCTCCTTGTAAGGTACATGTTCATGGAGCTTTGTTAATTCGAATGTAAACATTTGTAAATATTTGCTTGGCACAGGTATAAGAACGGTAAAGAACTTAAACCATCGGATAAGCCAGAACAGAAGAAGGTCGATGATAACAAATATCAGTTAGTTATTCCAAATGCTGACGACGTCGACGCAGCTGACTATAAGGTAACTTGGTGATGGGGAAGTTTATTACTCCTTGAATTAAATTGCTTTGGGACATTTCACAGCATGTTATACGGTCACATAGCTCATCCTCAGCGGCTTAGTTGGCGAAAAATCCCTAATCCCATATTTACCTAGCCTGTATTAAAATCCATTTTTAGGTGGTGCTGATCGACGACGATGACAACAGTGCCGATTCATCATGTGCATTGACAGTGCGACTTCCTGACAAGGAACCGAAGATCATCAAAGGACTGGGCGACCGTACCGTAGCGGCTGGCTTACCAACTATTTGGGAAATTGAGGTTATTATTCAGTTATATCGTTTGGTTCCTCGTTATTTATTACCGCTTTTAATCATCAGCAACCCTTATGTCCTCTTTCTAGTTTTAATTTTTTTTTCCATTTTGTGACATAAAGTTCTCGTTAAGACCGAAGGATCTCCGCGAACGGTTAAATGGTACAAAAATGGAAAGGAGATCGCAGGTGCTGCTGCAGCGCAAGTGAAAATGACCAAGGTTGACGATAACCGTTATGTACTAGAGGTATGTAGTGTGGAATGACCGGTTCATTGAATATACTTCAGGACCTTCGTTCTTTGGGAAAAGTACCATTTCTAACAAGCAAAAATATTTGTTTTGCTTTATTTATTAGTGATACACAAGTATTAACAGTGACAAAAAATCACACAGAGAGAACATCTACAGTTACAAGTATAACGAAAAATCTTAAAATGCAAATTAAATAGTACCTGCAAAGGAACTTCTTCGCAACTAGCTGTGCTTGATGCTTGTTAAAACCATAACTATATTAAGGATTAAGTAATTTCTACAATATTTGGACCCATACAGTTTTTTCTCCGTATAAAGCGAGTTGGAATGGAGAGTTCATGTTCGTTTTTTAGATTCCAAAATGTGCCTTGGGTGATACAGGTAGCTATAAAGTCGAAGTCGAGAACGACGCTGGTAAGGCGAACAGCACTGGCAAGGTAAGATCTTTTCTGGGTTCTCGACACCAATACAGACGTCTAGTGAAAAAGTTATGAAAAAAAAATTTTGTGAAATGATGAAACACAAGTGGAGTTCCTATTGTGATTTCAGTTGACTGTCGAACCGAAACTCACCTTCTTAATTCCACTCAAAGATCAAACGATTACCGAAGGTGAAACGGTAGAATTCAAAGTGGAGACCAATGCAAAACCGAATACTGTCAAATGGTGAGAGTATCTGACATTTTGTAAATGTACTTTCTTCGTTGAAGCGAAACTTACGCCTACATTTAATTTTTCGTAGTAGAAAGTTGCGAAGTATTTGAGAATGATCAGAAACAATGAGGATAGACCCATGTTTTTTAAAATCACGTTCTTCTTTTCATTTTTTTCCTCTTGTCATGTTTATGGGAAACTGGGAAGCTTTACCACCAACATCTAATCCGCCTACCTTTCAGGTACAAAAACGGTCAAACGATCACACCGGATGCCCGATTTATTGTCACTGATGAAGAGACTAGATACAGATTGGTGATTAAGAACGCGACTAGAAATGATACAGCTGAATACAAGGTGAGCCATTTTCTCAGTCGAAGAAAATACTTTTACGATTATTCTTTTATTTAACCAGAGAGTATTTACTGTTCAGGTCGTGCTCAGTAACTCCGCTGGTGATGCCGACTCGTCGGCTAAACTAACTGTTCTGAAGGCAAAGCCGGGACTGCCTAAAATCGTCAAGTTGCTGGAAGATCAGGTTAGCGACTGCTTTCAGAATGCGGTGTTTTTCATTTTTTGTGGAGTGCGATAGCTCTATAGTATCCTTTAAGTGTAGTAATAATTAGGAGAAACAGAGTAATATCTTTTTGAGGACATTAGCCATTTTTATCAATTTATTTTCCTAATAGACATTCAGTTCTTTTGTATCGACGTCGAAGTTGTCTTTTTAATGTTTGGTAAAATTCTTTAGTGTTGGAAAAACGCCGTTTAGTAAAAATGGGTTCACAAAGGACCTCAATCAGATGCGGTTTGATATGGCTGGTTAAATCAGTCTGATGCTATATTGTTAACCTTTATGTTGTTGGGTCACACAAGTGGGTCTGTCGACCATTTAATTTATCTTACTTTTCTGATTTTCAGAAAATTAACTTGCAAATTTTATGTTTTTCGTTTTTCCGTACAAAATACATTAAGGCAACAGTTTCACTGCAAAAGGGCTAAAAACATGCTGATGTTTCACTATCCTAAAACCTCTAACATCTAACTGTTAACTGATCCTTTGATGCGAAAGCATTCAGATCGCTGCTAAAGGCGCATCTATGGTATTCGATGTGAAAGTCGAAGGTGAAGTGGATGAAGTACGGTGGTTCAAAGACACCATACCGATCACTGCGGGAACAAACGCTATCATTGAGAAGGTCGATGATACTATGTAAGCGCCCCTTATGTATCTAATGTTACGGTAGATGCTTCTTTTCGTTTTCTGTAAATTTTGGTACGAAATGCTTAAAGCTGCCTAGGACACTGTTTAGCCTTCCATTTCCTATAAGAGGTTGTAATAGAAATCAACGGAGTTCTTCTTAATTAGGAAACGGGGTTTTCCAACTGATAGGTTGTACTTCTCACTTATGTCTCCGTTTTTAGTTTGTTCTACTCTGTACTGCGATATCATTATTTAAAAGAAGATATTACTCGTGTAACAGGATTTTTGAAGATGTTCACATTCACACGTTTATTTGTTTTACCAGTAAATTCACTTTTGTACTAAATTTGGAGAAGTTCGTACAAGATTATGAGCATTAAAAGCTCAAGAAGCAACCGTTAAAGAACTAGACAGCTCAAAATATAGTAATATAGTAGAGTGATTAATTTTGAGCAACAAGCCCTCAAAGAATTCGTTACAAAGTAGTCTACGAAATTTCAGGTACCGACTAACAATACCCAAAGCAGACATCGGCGATGTCGGTCACTACTCAGTCGACGCTGTGAACGAGAGTGGAAAGGTTGGTTGTTAGTCTAAAGCAATTTTTTTTTTTGCAAACGGTAGTTTTCATCGAAAGGATTTGTTTTACAATAATCTTTGCTTAAGGCTTCATCTGATGCTAAGGGTGAAGTGGACGAAAAACCAGAAATTGTCAAAGGTCTTGTTAATACGGAAGTGTGTCAAGGTGATGACAGTGTATTCAAAGTGGAAGTATCGACACCGGTTCGAACTGTGAAATGGTGAGTCTTCGCTAAGGTAGAGATTTTTGCTTGACCTATGATTATTTAACGTACCTGTACTACCTGTCCTCTCTCTAGTCATCGAGTAATTCAAGCATGCGTAAACAAAGTCGTTATTTCTTTTGCTAAAAAGGCACTAATATCGAGTTTCCTGCTCTTTGTATTCTCGAAAAACTTCGACAATCGAGATGATAGTTTTCCTTTGTTTAAGATTATATGAGACCCAATAAATAACGCATGTTATCCATCGGTCGATGTTGAGATGCATAGAGTGCAATCTTTTTTCCTAATATATCCGGGCATGTTCGGCTTGTTATCACAGATCATGAATTTACTCCCCATAGCTGGGGTATGTGGCAATACTCGTTTTTTGAACGCAAATGGAATGCCAGGTGCAAATACTCTCCTCGCGTACATCGCTTCCTTTAAGCCAACGGTTGACCTACTCAACCGGTACCTATTTTCTGCTTGATAACAGAGGAACGGTGCTATAATTCATTTCTTTCATGTTTTTCCATGTCTAATTTTCGAGTATTGTAATCGAAAGTGTTGCTTAGTAGTCTCAGCAACTTGGTTATTTCTTCTTGCAAAATTCTTCTCTTCACTTGTGTACTTTATGCTGTTGTACGGTGACGAAATCCTGGTTAGGAAGTGGAACACGTGTTCGATTATTCGGGTATTGGTTGCCATGTAATATTACTTCATAAAAAAAATACATCGTTTTTTCCGATTCAGGTATAAGAACGGTCAAGAGGTGATGCCATCCAAACATTTCGAGCCGAAGAAAATTGGACCAAAGAAGTACGAGCTTGCCATCAATCGAGCAGAACTCGACGACTGCGCAAACTTCAAGGTATGGTCGATGTCGACAATCCGACACAATTCATTCGTCTTCTTCTTTTCATTATCGTCGATTATCTGTTCATGGAAACGGTTTTATCCTATATAAATAAATATGTATGAATCCATCGATTATCAATAGGTGGTGTTGGCGAACGCGGCCGGTGAATGCGATTCGTCTGCGGAACTGACGGTGACCAAGCCGAATATTCTGAAATTGCTTGAAGGCTTGAAGGATATAGATGTCAATGAAGGCGAATCCATTAATCTTAAGGTATAGTCGATCACTCTGAAAGTTTTTGTTCTGCCACCCCTTTCATGTTATCCCTACATATTTGTTATCACACTTCCTCTTGTTGACGTCATCTTGTTGTGACCAGATAGCACTTCGGTATTGCACAGTTCCATATTACCTTTTCTGGAAATAGTCAAATTATAGGTTAGAGTTGAAGGAATTCCAAAAACTGTCAAATGGTACAAGAATGGTGCGGAACTCTCACCAAATGATGTTCAGATGGTATGAAGAGTTATAAAATTTGTCTACCAAAAAAGTTTTAGTTCTTCGAAATTTTTTAAAATTTCTTATCCATAGTTTGAAAACCTAACGTTAAGAAGTAAGTAGATCACTACTAATTTTGACAATGTCTTATAGAAAGGAAATGCGTTAAGATTAGTTTCATCAGTTACATAAAACTTTGACCTAGTGGTTTTTTTAAAAATGATTCCTTTGTTTTAGAATGAAAATGCGGAAAGTGGCGAATATTCGCTGGTTATTCCACAATCAAAGAAGAGCGACGGTGCTGCTTACCGTATTTCATTGGCTAATGAGAAAGGAGAGATCTATAGTGGTGCTGTAGCGCATGTGAAGGTTAGGGAGAACACCTACACTCATAGCACTACAGTTTTCTTACTTTTTTAAGATTGTTCCCTAAATTTTGAAAGGACCACTCCGCTTCGTTAATATCTTTTCCATGTAACAAAAGAACGTAGTTTTTCTTTAGACGGTAAAAGCGAAGGATGCCACTTCACCGGTGAACTTTCTGTCTCCTCTGGAAGACACCGAAGTTACCGAGGGCGATATGCTGACCTTGAAATGCGTCGTAGCCGGAGTACCATTTCCGGAGCTTACTTGGTAAGTTATGGGTAGAAATCTATCCATTTATGATACTTTACTGTTGCTCCTATAAATTGGATCTAGTTCAGCTGGTAACACTCTGGCTACAGTAGCCCTGGTTTTCCCGACTGTTAACGTCTTTTTTCCAGAATCTGCTGAAGAATTCATTTCATTGTTGTTATATAACTTTTAGACAATGTTTATTGCAAGCATAACACTGTGCCATTGCAAACCGGGGCACGCGATCTGTTGTGATTGCAATTTTCTCCCATCGGGTACAGATGGTCCATAATTTTCGGAAGTCCGAAATCATCGTCTTAGTGTAGAGGAAAAAGGACAACGTAAAAGTTTTTGGAAAGTAATTCTCAGGGGGTCAAGAAACATAAAAACTGTTACGTAGAGTAGGGTAGGAATGCTAGAAGACACCAAATCATTGATCGGTGCGCTATGTGGCCTACGTGAATAGTTCTGGTTCTGATCTTATTTTCCGGAGGTCCGACCAAGATATCTTATTTGTACAGGACCAAGGATGGCGTTGAACTCGAGAAGGACGATCGTATTTCCATACGCGTCGCACTCGATGGAACGGCAACACTGCGTATCCGCGACTGTCGCAAGTCAGACTTTGGTCAGTACCGTATCAGCGCGAAGAACGAGTGCAGTACTGAGACCAGCACTTGCCAGGTGAGAGGATAAGGCTAGCAGCTTTCTTTTTACACACAACGCTTCACGGACGAAGAAATCGGATTTTAATTTTGTAATACCAGTAGCACAATTTTTATATCCGGACCTATAATAGCTTTCGAGATTTTGGACAATATGCATAATCCTTTCCTTTTAGGTAACGGTGAAAGAGAAGAGAGAAGAGCCATCGAAGCCACGTTTCATCATTCCATTGAAATCATGTGAGGCAGTGATTGGTGAGAAGAAAGAGTTTGAAGTGAAAGTGAGGGGATTCCCGAAGCCAACGCTCGAGTGGTACGAAGTTTTGTTCCTACTCTGGCCTTCTGAGGCAGGCTTAGTTATAATTTTCATCAAGAGGTCCCAATATCTGTAATTTCTCAAGGTTAAACTATTGTATTAACTCTTTTATGGCAATTCTTAGCATTTTGTCTTTTAATTCGTAAAGAAACCATGTTGTTAATATGACTACCTTTCCTGGGGCTTCAAAGTTCCAAATTCTAGGTTACTGAACGGCTCACCGATTGACCTCGGTGATCGTTGTGGAGTCACTGATCGTGGAGACGGAGTTTACTGCCTTACAATCAGAGACGTCAGTTTTTCAATCACAGGACTTTTTTTTAAAAAACCATATTCTTCCTACATTAACACATCCGATAGCAAAAAACTACTACTTGGAAAGTCAGTATATAGTCGTGTTCCAGGTCAAAGATTCTGATTTCGGTACCCTTCGTTGTATTGCGAGAAATGAAGTCGGTAAGGATGAATGCCAAGCGGAATTCGGAAAGTCGAGTAAGTTAATCGTGCTGAGTGATAGGAATTCACTGCAGTTGTTCCGAGCATTCAATCACCGCAAGGTTTCTAACCAAATGAGATTTTCGTTTTAAAGAAATTCTTTTTAGTCAGTTACATTTTCAATGTTTTCTCGTCATTTATGAGGCGAATGAATTGTTCTAAAGAGACCGGTTCTGTTAGAAGTTTGTTCAATCGAAAACCTCATTGCTAAGAAATATGAAATAAATTGAATGTAGGTTTGCTACTATACCTCAGTTCGATGTTCATGGGACGTCTCAAAATTTATATCGTTCGGTGACTACGGTTTAAAAATCTTAGGGAAACATTGCTGGTTGTTTAATATGCACTCTTTAACTGATAACCTAGCACGATGTTGATAAAAACACTTTACTCGGCTGACGTTTCGGCACTTTCGCCTTCGTCAGAGCCGTATTGATTTATTGATTGCTTTCTATGAATGTTCAAATCACGTGTTCATCGTACGAGTTTACTATATAGACACATACTAATAGTTGGTTTTTCAATTTTACAATTTTTAGGACTTAGTATTCAAAAACGTTTTCTTTTGCTAATTCAATATAAACGTTTTAGTACTTTATTCGTAGATGTGTTTTATTCCCTGCTATTAGCTCTCTCAATGTTTTCTTAAATTTTTATTTAGGCTTCCGCAGTCGTGAGAAAGAAGACGATCGCTATCCGCCACGATTCAACGTACCGCTTTGGGATCGTCGAATTCCCGTCAACGATCCATTGGCCATCGAATGTCACGTGGATGCGAAGCCAGTCGCCCAAATCGAATGGTTCAAAGATGGTAGGTGTGGTGGTGTTTCAAAGTCCTCGAGATGGATATCAAAGTTCATTCGATGAAAAATCGAATAACTTGCCTTTTCGTGAGAAGCTTCCAGTTGTTTCAGAGTTTTTCAAAGTCAAAAGAAAACTGCTTGATAGTTTTACTACACTCTCATTACCATTGTTATTGTACAAAAATCACCGATTGTTTTATCATCTGTGATCGACTATGCTTTAAACATCACTTTTTTTTGCTTGTTAATCGTAAAAACAAACGAAGCTGTGTTAAGACGAATTTAAATTCGGCGGGCATCTATTCCTTGACATGTAAGATTTCCATACGTTACCTTATTCTGTTGTTTCTTCGAATTGAGAGTTTATAGAACAGAAACGAGGTGATGGGAAATTTCTTTCTTCAAGACAAAAGTAATCTTCTTCAGTGGTTATGGCAACCGTTAGCAGTTGTTTAGAAATCCTCAAATTTGAAAAAACGCGACATTGCTTTAGGAGTTTTGCTGAAGTAACTATTTAAAATGGTGAAAGACGTAGGAGCATTTCTAGGCAAAAAGCTTGAGATCATCAAAGGCGTCGAGATTCGCAACACATCCGACGGTGCTTGTCGCGTACGAATCGCTCGGTTCGGAAAGGAAGACGTCGGCGTCTACATGTGTGTGGCGACGAATCCACTCGGTGTTGCCGAGACCAGATCAACCTATTCGGTAGAAGGTAAGCAATTACACATCAAATCGGATTGTACCCGTGGGTTTCGGAGAGTTTCATCTTCATCCACGAGAAGTTAGAAGAGGCTTCCCACGAAGAAGAAAAATGACCATTTCGAATGATTGATCGAAATGACTGAAAAGTGATCGAAATTGAAGTGTTATTCAACACCGAGTGTTTTGTCTGTTAAGCTTAGCTTAAGTTTTTTATACGAAGAGGAGAACGTCATCTCATTTTGTGATAATTATCGCAATTTCTGATTTTATTCCTTTATTGTTTATCACTGTGGATCCTACTCAAATTAATGCTTTCAAATCGGTTAGTTACTTTAAGCAGATACATGGACAGAATCAAAGGACCTAACTGTGGGTTATCAACCGTCACAAACCGTAGCATTAATTTGGAACCTTGTTCTTAGTTTTCGTTTATCTCATTCGAGCATAGATGCATCAAACAGTGGAGTACGATTAAATAAGATTTCACTAATCATTGTTCAAATAATATGGTCATTAACGGGAATATAAGCGAAAAGGTCATTTTTTGGCCATAAGAGTTGTTTCAGTGACTGAGAAAGAAGAAGTGATAGAGAAGAACGAATATGCGCCTCGCTTCAATCCAGGTCTTGAAGACCTGAACATCAACGCCGGACAAAGCATCCGGCTTTCTTGTGCTGTCGACGCTATACCTAAAGCAGGGGTAAGATTTACTCAAATTTTGTGAATTCATATTGAGATGAAGTTGTAGTGAGAAAGTGATATTTTTGTATTGTTTTCTTGAAGCATACACCGTAAATGGAGACCCAGCATTATGAGTCCTACTTCAGATACCTTCTTGGGTTAATAAGCTAAGACGAATTTGACAAAAACTTCGTCGTGTTTTTCTAAACGTTTTCTCCGTTTAACAGAAATGTTTTATTTTTCAGATCGTTTGGTACAAAGACGGCTTGCCATTACGATCGGGTGGTCGGTTCACTATTACCACACAAGATGATGGCACATGCATATTAGAAGTCAAGGACACTGTTGCAGGTGATTTTTATGGAGCCTACTCCTTTCCATCGTCATCCTTTCTTGATAAGATGATTCTATCAATACTCATAAAATAACACCTCGTCTTTGCTGAACAGAAGTAGAAAGAATTATTCAATCTATGCCGAGGTTAATAGAAAGTCGGACGTGAGAGTTAATACTCGTTTTTTTTCGGCTGTTTTCTACATATAACACACATACTATTCACAGTCGAAATCACTCTTTGTATCAGACGTCTAGTTTTACTAGAATTGTTCGTAAGACTTTGGATGAACTACCGCATAATTTTGGTGAAAGAAAAAGCTAAAATGGTAGCGTAAATAAATAGAAATACGTTTGTAGTTGGTGTTGACGAGCTCACGGATTTGTATTCACTTTCAGAGAATTTACCTTTTTGCGACAACCTCACTTTTATGCGGTTTCTTTGTGTTATACATCTATGTCGCTTTTCTTAAGATCAATGTTTCATATCACTAAAGTCTTTTTTACTGCTTTAAATGGTGTAACCTTTAAGTAAAACTTCCATTCTAGGAGACGAAGGTGCTTATCGCTGTGTAGCATCAAACGAACACGGAACAACAAACACCAGCTGTTTAGTTACGGTGAAGGTGCCGAAAACTGAGGTGATGCTCTTCCAGAGATTCATGACCTTGAGTTTGCCCTTCACATATGTTCGCATGTTGAATGATCCGTATTTTTCAGGTAAAGAAGGAAGGAGAGGAACCATTCTTCACCAAGGGCTTGGTGGATATGTGGACGGATCGTGGAGAGACTTTCACTCTTAAATGTGCCGTCAAAGGCGATCCATTCCCGGAGATTAAATGGTATGTTCGCAGTGGTTTTTCTCAATAAGTTTTGCTTCTCACTTAGCACTTTTTAGTGTTATTAAGATTTTCACGCTATGAAAAAGTTGAAATCTTGAGACGAAAATCAAAAGTCAAAATTATCGTATCCCATTTTCTCGTGTGATGACCAACCTCATTTTTGTGTTGTCATAGTGTTCTGTTTTAATTCTGTTCCTAGCTACACGCTTTTATCCGTTGATATAATCGTTTATAGCGGTTTGTGGATACAGGAGATCTTATCTAGGCTGGAGAAATACAAGTATAACTGAAGGTGTTAGGAAAAAATGACATAGACACTTGTCAATTTATTTACCTTGACACCGAAAAATCCAGATCCTTTTTCATAAATAGAAAACTCTGGATCTCAGGTTCCGTAATGGCACCTTAGTCCGCGATTCGTCCCGAACAAGGATTGAAACAACCGCCGATGGTAGTTGCCTTCTAACGGTAAAGGAGTGTACGATGAGTGACGAAGGTGTCTACAGATGTGAAGCTGAAAATAAGCATGGCAAAGCCAAGACACAAGCCACGGCACATGTGCAGAGTAAGCCATCCATTTTGGTAGTAGAGTATCTTTGAGTTGGAAGCAAATGTTCGAGAATGAGCAGCTAGTGCCTTTCCTAACGTATCTTGAAAATCTCGGAAAAGTTTGGCGATTGTTCCTCAGTTGCTCGCCCCACTAACAAAGCACTGAATTTCGCGCGTTTTTTCAATTACTTTTATTTCCACATTGTCCGATGACATTTCTGTTTTATGTAATTTGTATTTCATGAAGTTTGTCGCTACAGTACTGTATTATGCTATTGAAAACTCATTTTAGTGTCGATTGCTAAAAGTGATGCTCCAAAACTCGAAATGGGATCACCACCACGTTTCATTATCCCTCTCGAGGACCAGACGGTAGTATTGGGTGGAGTTATTGACCTTGAATGCAAGGTGCTGTAACTTCTACACCATTCGTTTCTTTATTAGAATTTTAAATTCTGAACTTTTAAGGTGACCGGTGAGCCAATGCCACAAGTGAAATGGTCCAAAGATGGTGGACCAATTTGGGAAGACTCTCGTTATGAATGGGAAGTGGATGAGGCCAAGGTTTGACTACTGTCTTTTTTTGAGTGACAACGTTATGGGGATATCATTTTACCATCTCTATCAAGTTATTCTTTTTTTGAACTGTCAACAAAATCGAGGATGTCGTCTACTTTTAAGGTGAGTACTTCTATCATGAGCATTTCTCCTTCTCTTTAGGGCACGTATCATCTTCGTATCACTTCGGTTAATTTGAACGATGAGGGCACTTATCGATGTGTTGCTACCAATGAGTCTGGTTCTGCGTCCACAAAATCCTTCGTTCGTATCGATGGTAAGAAATTATGGCAGCTTTTTCCTCAAAATGAATCGTAGCTTTGGCCAGTTTTGTTTCAAGTGCATTTTTCTGTTTATCTATACATTTGACGATTCCATTTATGGCCAACTATTTGCCATTTCCTCGTCATTGTTTTCATAGATAACTGAGTTAAAGACTTCATCCTTTACAAGAACCTGCTTAAACTGAAGCTCACATTAGAATTTCTTCGGTGGGTAGGAATAATGACAGACATCCGAGGACTATGGGGCATTTTGGAAGAATTTTGAGTTTATGGAAAAAGGCGTAGGAAAATTGTCTTCGTTGGCAAGTTCGTTTCTTCTACTCTTAGTTTTAAATATATGTATGTTCGTGAAAAAGGAATTGGGTGAATTGTTGACATAACCACAGTTGCCTTTAGATCTATTCTGAAAGCTATCACCCAAACCATTCAACGGTTTAAAGCTTCATCTGTTTTCTTATGTTTGAATACTCAACTCGCTGAAAATTCTTGACTGGGTGAAAGTATAGGTTAAGAAAGCAATCAATAAGAAGTATAGATTAGATGTTGCTAGACTCTACCTTTGCCTCTAGCTTAATGATAAGACCATGATGTGCTTTATTTCTTGTTTCTTTCCCATTTATAATATTTAGATGGTCTTCTAACGCAAGCACCGGCGAAGAGCGTGCCTCCGCGATTCACCATCCATTTGGGTGATGCTCGCGCCGTCGAGGGTCAACCGTTACAATTAGAATGCAAAGTGGTGGGTTCACCACTTCCCGAACTCACTTGGCATAAGGATGGAGCTCAGGTAGATTCTGTTGTTTCGGGCTTTCTGGAATCACTTCTGGTTTTTCTCTGCTTTTCTTTTACAATACCAGTATTAATACTTCAAATTTACTCCGTTTCAGATTCAACCATCTGATAGGGTGCGGATGAGTATGGGACCAGATGGAGTTGCAAAACTTGTCATTCCGCAGTGTTGTATGGATGACGAAGGTGGTTATCATTTGAAATTCAGTCTCTGTCATATCTGTCCCAGTCTGTCTTCTAGTTGATTCTTCAAAATGGTCCTTTATATGACTTTAGTTTTCAATATTTCCTTCATGATCGAGAAAAATCAAGTTCCGTGATGGTCTTCCTAATTTTAAGAACAGTATAGTTGTGAGAACATGATGAACCTTAACCGCCAAGATTACTTTTCTTAGGTATTTATCGTGTGATTGCAACGAATCCATCTGGCACTGCCCACGATAAGGGTACTGCCACCGTGAAGAAGACGCCACGTGATTCTGACCGTCGCTCGGCTGACAAAGACCACTTCGATGCAAATAAATTGCCTAAGCTCATCGAACCACTCGAGAACGTTAAGGTGACGAGACAATATTGTTTTTAATTCAATTTTCCATTGTAATCTTGAGAAGATAATTCAATTGTAATCGGAGGTGCAGTGAAATGGGCGTAACTAGACTCTTTAACAAGTCTACTAAAATATTCGATTATTTAAAGAAGTTAGAAATAAGAATTCGTCACTTGACGTCTGAATAGGTTGAGTTTGTTAATACACAGAGTTGTTCTAGAAAGTGAAATTTCGCAGTCCCTTGAATAAATAAATCGTTTTTCACAAGAAACATGAGTCCTATTATCACCATCCGCAAATCACGACCTTTTTGAATAAAAGAGATTTGCCGTGTTACAACTATGTTTCTTTTCGCTTCGGTTTACTCTTAGCATGGCAGTTCGGGCAGCAAAAGCACCTCAACACCGATAAGGCAGTAAACTATTATGGAAAACGTAGTGCTATTCCAAGAAATTTTGACCATTCAAAGGATTGCGTTGTTCTATTGCCTAAATGTGGTTCCGGAAATGTTCTGCAATATCATAATTGCCCGTGACGTCGATTGTAATTTTAGGTGCCTGAGAAGGAAGGATTCAAACTTCGTTGTAAATTCAGTGGTGAACCAAAACTTGCGATCAAATGGTTCAAAGACGGCGAACGAGTTTTCCCATACGGAAGACTGAATCTGGTGGGCGATTTTTGGAACAAAAAAACATCTGAGAACCTTTGCGTGAAGAAGCAATTGTTATTGTCTATTTGCGCGCCTCACGCTTGCCAGCCAGTGCACATATTTTATTATGTGTTAGACTGTTTAATACGCCTATCGGCTTAGATCACATTATTTTCTATGTATTAGTCCACTAAATTTTATCATTAACATTTTAATGGCTACTTCCTGCTAGGTGGAAACTGATGATGGCGTTTGCGAATTGCTTGTCGAATCTTCAATCCGACAAGATGCTGGAGGCTATCGATGTGTGGCTGAGAACCAATATGGTTCTGTCAGAACCACTTGCGAGGTTACCGTAATTCGTGAGTTATAGTTATTTTTCAGCGAACTGCTCTAAACAATATGTTAAATATTGGGATATTCAACAGTGCTAACAAATATATCTTTCTTGATAGTCATAGAATTCTTGTGGGATTTCGTTTAAGTTTAGGATTACCAATAATACGGTTATATTTTAATATTTTATACGATTTTCATTTACTATCGAAGAGCGATTTCTCGTAATCCCATTATCTAGGCATCTTCTATTAGCTTTCTTTTTGCGTTTCTTTACTTCCAGTACAACATTTCATAGCATTTTAAAAACTCTGATGGATTGTTTTTGATTACCATACTCAGCAGTGATTTCTTAGAAAAGGAGCGCAAGCCCATTACCGATTTCGATGCCACTCTCAAAGAAGGCAAAGCACCTGGATTTACCGTACCGCTCACCGTTCGACGTGCGAAACCCGGTGAAAATGTGATCTTTGAATGCGTCCCGTACGGAAATCCATTCCCGGAAATCAAATGGCTCAAGGTTTGCTAAATTATTTTTACATTTATAGTGCAACCCTAGAAATATGATAAACGTGATATAGAGGTATGTGTGCTGTAATAGATAGTTATGGGTAGTTAAGTAACAGTAGTAATGTAATTTTAGGAGGCTAAAAAGTGGCTAGAAAAACGAAGTAATATAAGACCATAACGCTCGTAAAAGTAGTATTTTCTCAAATTTTCAGCAACCGTGTGCTTCCATTCCTTTCAAGTTAATGTAATATCCTCATTTGTGAAGGGTGTACGGAAAACTTGATCCATTTCTTGGTTCATTTTCAAAGAAACTCTGAACCTTCTTTGATTGCTTGACTATACGAATGAATGAAAGAGACAAAAATAGAGATAACATTTCAAATATTCCTATATCATATCTTATCACTGACTGAAATTAGTTCACTCATTCGTTGATATTTTATCTTCTAGGATGGAATCGAACTCTCTCCATCGGGAAAGGTCTTTTTCGAGTCGTTGCCTGACGGAACGCAACGTCTTCATCTGGCTGACGTGAACTTCATCAGTGAGGGCTTCTTCCGTTGCGTTGCCACCAACGAATATGGCACTGCGTCCACCAAGGCCGAGCTCAGCATAGACGGTGAGCGCTTGCGGGTTTTTGTTTTCAGTAAAATGTCATTAGGAATGAAATTTTGTGTGAATCCAAGGATTTTTTCTGACTAATCTGAAAAATTATGAGTTTCTAAATATAATTTTATACGGGCGGTGAGTGCGAGGAAAACGATTCGAACGCAGGAATTGCTTGGACCCTCTCAGTAGGAGTGATGACGGGTCATGTCAAAAAAATTTAAAAAAAGTTACGTGGAGTATAAAAGCTAACCAAAATCACTAAGAAATTACAATTCAGAATTAAGATATGTGAAAAGATCCTTTTGATTCACTTTATTTGAGTTATTCCAGTCCTTCAAAAAGTACTCTTCTATCACTTTAATAACTGGACTTACAAATTTTTAAAAAAATGGACAAATTTGGCCATACTAAGCTTTTATAGCCGAAATTTCTGCCAGTATACGGATGCTTTTTATATCTAACGATGTTGCATAAAGGTGAAATTCGACCAAAGCGTAGAGTCTCGTTCTTTAGTATTTTTTAGGATTAAAATTAAGCAAGGAACACACCCTGTTTAGCTCTTTTGCTCTAACTGTACGTGACAATCACGCACGCATGACTTCCATGAACCTTAACGTAGATCTTCTTCATGTTAAGAATCTCGACGAGCTTTTCATGTACCTCAATTTAAGAAAGATTTAAATATGGTTAAAAAGTTACCATGTTTTTTCCATAAGATAATGCAGGTGGGTCCATAGGATAAAGCGAAAGTTTTGACTATTATAGATTGACTCAAAATTACCATATATTCGTAGATTTGTTCATACATACGATCGTTAATGGGAGTCCTTGAGTGTATGCGGATCTTAGCTAATATGTCGATTACGCCAAAAGCATGCACTTTAGGGAATGAGAAGTATTAATATCGATGAGGTTCGGGGTCAGTATCAACAGATATGCTCTGAGGTAGATTAATAAGTTATCGGACTTTCTCTTTCTTGTATACAGGAATACTCAGCGAGCTACCAGTGGGTACGCTATTAGGAAAATATAGTAGAACTAAAGAGTCATATCAAAACTGCAGTGCTCCTCCAAGAGAGAGGGGTCTATTATTGGGTAGCTCTTACGCACAGTTGCGATCTCCACTGGCTTACAAGTATTCATATACTAATTAATGTTATTTCATTTTATTCAGGCAGTATTATGGCTTAAAACTGGTGCTAAATGTTACTACATAGCTTGAATTCTTAATAGTAAAATTATTTTCCGTAAAACCATCTAACGTTGCCTTGCAACAAGTCAGTGAGGACTTTCTATAATCACCATTTATCGAAATTTATCGCATTTTTATTTATTTATTTATCACATTTTATCGGAATTCTAGTAGCTGAAAATAGAATGCTTTACTAAAACTGCCAGTTTGTTCAGCAGAGCAGTGTGTTGTTTTATTTATGAGGCAAAAACCCACAGGACAACGAAATATCGGTTTTTGATTTAATTCTTTTCAAACCTAGCGACCGTAATTAATGGTATTATACCTGATGTTTATTGCTCCCAAGACATCTCACATCTTCGTTTATTTATATACTGATTATAAACTGATCTTGTTGGGCTGATGCTACTAAGACTAAACTAAATCGAGTCCTACTCGTAGCAGCACGGCTCTGAGGAAGGCGAAAACGCCGAAACTTCGGCCATAGACCAACAACAACAACAACCGCGACAACGAAAACGTATACCAACCTCGCATCAACCCAACAATATCGCTTTATAAGATCATGTAAATAGATATATCAAGTATTTATGCCAAAGGTTTTAGAAAGTCGGTCTTCTGAATTATTAAGAGATGTGCACATCTTTATTGTTAATCAGTTGAAAAGCGAGATCATCGTACCGACCAGTATGTTCTCCGACCTCTGATCCAGACAGGGTTTCAATTTTTGGAATTCCGATCTCTGTGACGTTGTCAGGGTTTTAATTTGCAGACGGCAACAGCGTTATATTGTGACAGTATACGATCGGCATAGTGATTAATCCATTTCCCTCGGCGGTTCATTACCTGAATGTTTTCATTTTGAAAAATTGCCACTTGGGCTGTCCTTTACCACTCCTTTAACGACCAAATTTTAAATTTCTGCGCCAATTTACGCTACAAAACATTTTGGCTATAGTTTAAAGGAAAATTTGAAGCTAATCTCTTAGTCGTTGACTATGTGACTAGCTAGAGTCTGAAAAAACCACCCTTTTTAAGCCTAAACTTTACAGTGCTATCTGGACCCTTTTTATTGATAGAATTTTGGCATTTAATGTTGAGCAATCCCTTGGTGTTTTCAGATTACAAAAAAATTTAGAGAGCTTAGTTTTGGTATCGTACTACCACTTTAAACAATAGTAATTCGATAAAGGGATATTCATCGTGTGAATACACGTTCTATATAGAATGAGAAGTAAAGTGCTTATTTTTGTAGCTTAGATGTATCATTGATTTAAGGTAGTGCTTGTTATAAGTGGAAGGTTTTCTTGGGAAATTAAGAGGAAAGAAAAGCGTTTTGTAATGTGAAGTAAGAAAAAATGATTTCAATGAGAATTCTTGAAAAGAAGAGATCTTTAATGAGTTGCACAAATACAACATACAAGTACGGCCAACGCTTTCTTTCCAAATGGCATTCCGCGATCCCAATTCTGGTAGGTGAACGGTGTTCCTACAATAATGTTTACATAGCCGGTTAGAAGATTCTTAGTTATTGATTTCGTATCCAATCATCAATGTATCGGCAAATTTCTCCATACAAAAAACCAATTTATGATTGGATCGTGGTAAATCCGAATCTTAGTATCCATGTTTAACGATATTTTTTATCCATAATCCCGTTAATCATTTAAATAGTTCAACCGGTGATCAGCGATATTTCAATTCGTCTATGACAAACGCTTGAGCTGCTTGGTGGTTCTTCAAGAGACCCGTAAATCACTGTACTTTTCATGAAAGTCCCTTTATTCTCACCATTCTCGGCGATGGGATAGCTATGCAAAACTAGAGAGATCTCTGCTGCAGTTTCACGAGACCAGAGAACCTTCCTATTCTGGGTTAATCTACCAGGAGTGAACTTCCGCTGTACATCAAAGTAGACACTAAGGAGAATCTGAGAGCTATGATGAGGTGGTAAATCAGTGGGAGATGTCGTCATTGTCAGGCGAAAGATTTCGTTTCGAATGTTATTGAAACGTACCGTCCATCCATTTCCATTTATTGCCGTTATTCGATCTTCCGAAAGCCCCGAGCATCACGAAGTCGAATTTGGGGTTTTTCTCTCGAGCAAGGTCTGAAAGTCTATATTACTACTCCAGATCATCCTCGAATTAAATGTATTCTAAAGTGAAATAAATATCAATGTAGCACATTTTCTTATTTCATAATGATAAACCATCCTCCTAAATTCCATATGTAGCTGCTAGCGTTGCTTTTGGTTGGGGAGGACTAAGTAAGTGAGTTTGTAGATGTTTTCGAAAGAATCGTAGTAATTTTCTGTAGATAAAAAAGTTAAGCTTTTGCAGAACCAGCATTATGTTGGTCCACAGCCCTGGGAATTATAGTTCCATAAATGCTATTTAGCGCCTTAGATATGACAGGGAATTCAATGAAATGTTTTCTTAGTAAAATGTTATTAGAATAAAAAGCAACGTTGACATGGTGATACTTTCTTCTTCTAATTTGTCACTAGTTAATGGTACCAAAATCATTCTGTTTGTGAGCAATCGAATGATCATTTCAATGTAAAAAGAAACTTGTAAATTATAATTAGGAAACGAGTCTTAACCTTTTATGAACTGATTCTCAAATTCGCCACTGATACTGGTCAGCATGGCGTCATGATGATGTTCCGCTGCTGAAATAGTAGGTAAGAATTTCTAGAAAATGTTATCTCACCGTAATGTTTTCATACCAAGCTGATAACAAAGATAGTCCGCATCAAGAATAGTCATATTAGTTCGCGTTATGGCACGATAGCACGACTGTGTTGCTTCCATGTACATCCAGTGCTTTGGGCAGTACCGTGACGCTGGTCGATGCAGCTTCTTTTCGCAGATTACGCTAGCCGTGGTGTCGCAGACGGCGTTTTGCCAACCTCCTGTCCGCTGTATGCGTACGCATTTCTTCGAAGCGTCAATAAGTTCCGCACCGTTCCCCTGTGTCCAATTCGTGAAGCGAACGATTTTTCCTGAAATTCAGTTTTAGTTACATTGGGAACTAATAAGAAGACGGTGCTCTGACATTAAAACTACTCAAAGAAAACGTTAGGGTCCTTAGTTAAGTCATTCGAGACGTCCTGCAATACACACACGGTTGTTGGCTCGATGCCGTGATCCAGCCAAATCATGCACTCCGTATCTCCGCGATTCGGAAATTGGTATCAGAGTTGTTGGATGGAAGAAATAAAACACTGCCTTAATACATTGGTAAGCCGTGAAGGTCTGTATAAGTCAATATGCATTCGGTCACCTGTGCGGTGCGACCAGTTGTGTTGAATACAGGTCGTGTTCTTAAGCGATTGATCAGCATTAGTCGCTTTCGCTTTGGTACTTTATGGTTAGGTGTTTAACTGAATTAAGTTCATTTACCGACCATTCGGCCACCGTAGTACGAATCCAGGAGCAAAAAGTCCAGCGGCTCCGTCAACGATATCGAATCGGGCACGGGCATCTATCCATGCCTCCGATTCAGGTTTCATTAGACCTAAAGAATAGACTGAAGAAAATTACGAAATGTTTCAGAAATTTCTGTCAACTTTGAATGAAATTTGCAGGAAAAAAATTATTGAACACTCTCAGAGGTTCTATCTGCAGCCAGCAGCAAGCAAAATTTGCTTAAAATAAAATCTGTCGAAATCTCAGTGTAGTAGATGTAAACTCACTGCTCACAAAGCTGTTTTCCGCTTCATTTTCTATTCGCAGTAAGTGGGATACGTTAGAAATTCTGGAAGTGAAACATGTTCATATTTCTCCATTTTATTGATTTTTTTATCACGTTCTACGTGTTATGCGCTAAAACCTTGGAAAATTCCACAAATTTTGCAGATCTTTCAAGAATTGGTGTAATACAGTATTTCTAAGCCATAATAACACGCTTCGACCCATGGTTTACCGTATTTCATCATGTTCACCATAGTTTTATGTGAACGAGCTAATATCGTTGACAAAAAAAGACCTGTAACGTTGTTACTTTCCCATTTTCCTTGAAGAAAAGATCGCTTACTTCTGGCAGTACTGGTGAGCATCGTGATGGTTCAGTTTCCAACGAGATACGTAGTAACACGTTCTGCCTTTTGGACTGTGTTTCCATCGTGGAGCACACTTGAATTCAGCCAGTACGACAGCTTGGAATATCGGAATACTGTGTAGTAGAAGTTGTGCAACAGAATTCATATCAATCGTTTTAGTCAGAATTTGTTAATACCAATTTGTGATGTTACCGGAATAACATTTAGAGCGAAGTGATTTCCTGAAAGTAGGTTGACCTTAAAAACTGCTAACTGAACACAGTTTTTGTATAGTCCATGTGGTAACCGAGAGAACAAGAGCACTATATTTTTATTTGTTGTTATTCACATAGACACATAGACTGTTTATGGCGCAATGGCTTGGGGTGCTATGCAGTGCAGCCATGCTCAGTGGGTCGACTGCTCGCGCTAACGAGCATAGTCCTCTGTGTTTACAGAGTCGGTAAATTCGTACTAGACTAGTTCAGAAGAATGGAACACTTGAAGAAATGATAGATCGGCAAATCCGAGCGTCTTTAATAGGTAAAGTATGCATTCACCTCTGCGGCGCCACGAATGGTGTCAAGTGCACGGCGCATTCTTGAGGAGTTGACCAACGCCGAACGCTTTGTTCTCTTTACTTACACTTTACTCGTATAAATCATAATTCTTCGTTTTAACTACTCAGTTTAATAATTCAAGGAGAAGCTTATTGGTATAGGAATTGAGACTGTCATGAAATAAACGAATTTAGGTGACCGAAAAGCGATCGGTGCTACCATATCCGAACAGCCAAAAGAGCCGGAAGAGTGCAAGCCACGAATACGTCGCGGTCTCTACAATATGAGCACTCATAAGGTGAGTGGTATGGGTGATTAAGCCGGTTATTCGATTATCCTCCGATTATCCGGCGCATGTCGTACAACACGACGTTGATGCGCCGACTGCGAAATTATTGAGCAGGTTTTTCAAGAAGTCACATGTCACTTCGGAGGGCCTATAAAGGAGTGGAATAATATAGAGGAGTGGAGTTTCCCAATTATGAAAGGAAATCTTGCTTTATATTATCATAAATATAAGCTGATGTGACAATAATAGGACTTAATCAGCATAGAGAAGAAAAACTAGGAAAAGCTCATTGAAAACTAGTAACGCATAAACAGTAAGAGAAGAAAGCTATTATTAACGAGGCTAAGTGTGTGTAGTTATTAATAGTGGAAACTAGACCTATAATGAAGCTATTGGTCCACCACTTTAGTTGATCTTTGATAACCACTGGGAAAATAAATATGCAAATGAGCGATTCCATTTCCAAGTAAATATCGATAAGATTATTCAGTTGAACTGGTAAAAAGAGGATATTGCTTTGGAGCGTAGGGTAGGAAGGTTGGAATAAGAGGCTATAGACGGATAAGTCTTAAAGGTTATAGCGGTCATAACTGTGCACTTTTGTTACGTTTGTAATTTCGTCGGTATAGGAAATTGGTGTAGATTTTTCCTCTAAAATGACTGACGAGGTAGAACAAGAGGAAGAAGTTGGCTCCATGTTGTATGCTTTCGTTGAGATTGTCGTTATTCGCTGATTAAGAGGGATTTAATCAATTTTTGAACGAAGATCGGCGATAAACTCACCAATGGGAAGGGGTCTCATTAGAATGCGTGGATGACCTCGGATTTAGAAGAGGCGAACGACAAGTGAGAAAGTGTGAATACATCTATGTTTGTGTTCCGATCTCCTAGAACTACGCTCAGTTTTTGGTACGAGCAGTGTGCATTGTCCGGAGGTTTTATATAAATTATTAGGTATAGATCATATGTCTGGTACGTAATCTGCATAGGATGAATTATTGATTTAATACAGGAAATCTAGCAACTGAACTCTGCGCTGGAGGAAACAATCGTAGAGAACCTGCATTGAAATCAATGCATGGGGTCCACTCATCCAAATTTTACTGAGTACTGTCACTTCTGTGTTAATGGTAGGCTGAAGCGAAAGGTAGTTATGTAGGTATTCTTCAACCAAGCTAACTGATGGCAAACGTGCAGTCAGCAAAAGCGCAATGGCGCCAATGTCGCCTATCTTCTCTTATGCTTTTCACTGTTTGCCTAGGAGATTAGCGGTTATAAACAAGCCGCCTAAAGACTGTAAATAACGCAGTTTTTGAAAATTTTCTAAAAAAAAAAGAACACCTTTGCTTTGATAGTGAAATGTTAAATAAGCGTTTAAAACGCATTTAAACCACTAACGGTGGGGTTTCTTTTTGCTCAGTAGTTATTAATCACTGTGAATTTTTAATATAACCACTGCACTTCTGCAGATTTGTGATTCGTAAGGACTTGTGAAAAATAAGGAGGGTAAATAGAAAAATGAAATGTAGATACGAATTGATGTTTCTTTGCGGGAAAATCTGCCAAACGATCTCAAAAATTCGAAAGGAAAAACGTTTCATTTTGATAGCAACTAATTCCACACTCTATTTCTGTCTATTTTTTATAATATCAATTCGAAAAAGCTACTCATACGTAGGCAAGAAGAGCAGGCTGAAGGTGAGAAGGTGAAGGGTGGGAAACCAATGGAGTGGAGATGATGTTCACACGGTGGAAGAACTCCACTATAAATAAGCGACAAACGAATGCACCTGCACTAGTAATAACTTTTCACAGTACCGTAAGAGAAAGCACGAAGTGATAAGTTGTTTCGTTATAGGTGGTGTATTTATGGCAGGCGATCCCATCAAAATCTATTTAGTAGATTTGCTCATTATCCAATGTCAAAAGTACCTAAGTAACTCTATCCAGTTAGGGGCGGTTTGTTTTCTACAACACTCCATGTGTTTGTTCACCATCTATTTATTTATTCGCTTTTTATGCAAAATTCTTAGTAACTACACTGCACTCTGTATGAAATTGCAAGTTTCAAACTTATACTTCTTTAAAATATCCAATTAATTCACTAAAGAAGAAATTGGAGCGAAAGGATCATTGGGAAAGAAAATATAGTCAAAAGACCTATCTACAATATGTGAGCTCTTTAGAGGAGCTCCCGCATAAAAAAGGAATGTCTTAAGTCTTCATCATTGTTTAATACCCGTTCTTTTTCCATGGCGCGATACTATGTGTCTGCCATAGTACACTAGTGCCCTGCCATAAAAGAACATGCTGCAAATAAAAGTTAAGACACTGTGATTTCGACCGCTGCTTCAGCTTAACTGGGATCAATGCGGCTTTTTGCTTCCAACGTCATTGATAGGTTTTTGCTGATGGCAATGATAGAGTAAAAAGCTGATTGGGAGAAAAGCGAAGTAAGAGCTTCGGTTGATGTGGTGGATAGCAAGTGAGCCGCCGGAAAGGGTAGTCGCGGGTTTGAAGCCTAGCTGAGGTTCCGACTTTCGCTCATATCTCAGGATTCCTGAGTGGTGTGTGTTTCACATACTATTCGAAATATTCTAGAGAGCAGCCGTCTTTTAGGGTGAAAAGTGTTGTCGCAGGGATTGGAGACCCTTGGTGGACGATTCTAGTTTTATACTATCGAATAAACTTGTTAGAAAAATGTTAAGTTTTTTCCACAGAGCTTTATTTTTCTAATGATTTAGAAATGCTTCTAGAAAATGAAAACTTATAATAGAACATAGTGCCTTATTTGAAGCTAACATTATGGAATTGAGTTGAGAGGAAACGCCCCACTAACGATAACGCGACCCGACTGCTCTGAGGACACAGAAATTGGCTGTGCTGAAAAACGTCACCGGACTAAATGAATTACTAGTAGTGCACTTAGTGACTGGAACACACTGTTTTTTCCATCCAGTCATTATCTAAAATACCAGACGTTTTCCGCGCATCATCATTTTGAGATGTAATTCGAATTCACTTACTGGATGCACTTCTTGTTTTAAGACATGCGACAAAAGTACGAGTTATTTGATCATCTACTGATTTTTCGTTAAGCTCTAGAGCAATTTGCATTAGGGACTCTTCTTTTGACATTTTTCCTTGCCATAACTACATAAGTGAGAAGTCCTAAAATGATAGGAAATTTTTCACTAACGCGGTAAGCTTCGAAAGTTTCTTTCACCTCCATAGTGATGTGTTTACGCGGACATATTTTATTCCTTAACAGAATTAGTAATGTCGAGTAATTAGCCGTTCGGTCATCGAAAAGGGGGAGGGTTATAGGCCCACCTAATGTCCAACGTAAAGCGGACGATACCCATTGACTTCAATGCAAACCTTCCCAATAATAGTTGTGCCTTTCAACTTTAGATAGAATATCTGGGCTTCTAGTAAACTTTATGGTAGCTTAATATCTAGAGATCGGAAGCAGCATACATTTAGGATGTGAGGTTCAATGTTTAATTAGTTGAAATGAAAAATGTTAAATGTTGCGTAACTATAAATGGGTTCATTAGTGTTACATTTCCCGCACTATATATGCTATATGTTTGTTTGTTAAGAGATGGCGAAATATGCGAAGTTGTTTGATCATGTTCAGAACTCCCACCATCATACACAGGTGATTCAGTGCCCGTGGGTTCACTCAGGACTAAAGAGAAATTGAGTCAGGCATTGAGGACCAGTTCCATTTCAACATCTCTATTAGTCAGCAAGGTATATCAGTCTGAGTGAAACATACAGCGCTTTTTTGGCGGTTTCTAAAATAGCATAAGCGATAAATACTAATAAAGTAAAGGAAACAGGAGATTATGAATAGGAAAACGTATGGCTATATTCATAAGAAATGGATGGACAGTATCTTTTCCATCAATACTTTGTGAATTATGAAATTTTTCTCAGTTTTTGAGACTTTCAAACGCTTCCATATATTCGACCAGACTGGTCGATATTACAAGTAATGTTTAGGAGAACTTTCAAGTCTGTAAATATTTCGAATACTAGTAACTCGAGCACTACCGGTAGGTATCTTGAACTGACGGTATTCACTATTGTGACGCTTTCGCTGGGGCAGAGACGTTTTTTGAGTTTCGAGAATAAGAAAATTTGCTGGTCCATACCTATCTTAACTAAATTAATCAGATGCATGAATAAACATCTGTAGCAGGAAGTTGCTAGCTACGTTACCATAGTTGACGTTTCGGCGATATGGTTATCTTCAGATGTGCATCGAGTAACGTTCTAGAACAGAGGGATGAAGGGTAAAGATAAGATAAAAGAGTAGAGAGGAAGAAAGGTGAACTGTAGACAATCGACTCGGATCAATCTGCTCCTGAGAAAGGAGAAGGTGTCGGAACGTTAGCCGAATAAAGTTTTTTATCAACCTCGTTTCAAGTTGTCAATAACAGAGTGCGTGTTCATTAGTCATACCTGGGTTAAAGGAAAGTTGGTTTTTGAAATATTGTTACGTTGTATATTAGCTGATAACGCTACCGGCTGCTTCACTATGAATGGTGTAGAGAAAAACAAGCGATCATTAGTGGACAATCACCATCAATAACAACAATTCTGTATAAATGAACGCTGCCGAGCAAAATTGGTTCATTTGGACGGTGTTCCACTTTTGATTCGACTCGGTGCGATCACCAAGACCCACATCGGAGAAAGAAAACTGGCCAGTCGATTAGGATCAGTCCGTCAATGAATAAGGCGAAAGAGCCAAAATTTTAGCCAAACAAGATTTTTTAAAAATCAACCTCTTGTTGGCTTGAAAAAAATGAATGTGAGAATACAAAGGATAAAGGGTTGGACGTTGACCAATCTCTGTAGTGCAAAATGCGTTCGTCTTCATCGATCTTCCTAGAGATGCACATCCAACCTGTGCAATGACTTTCGATAATCAATCAATCTATCAAATTAAATCTATCAAAGTAGTGGTGCTATCTTCTCATCCATGTCTAACGCCAATTTGGGGATCCTGGAAGGATGAAAAACCTGGCACACAAGATGAAAGTAGAAACCATATGTGTATTCTAAGACACCAACCACTAGGCAGTGTGCGTGCGAAGTTTTAGAATGTTCATGGAATATAGGAGTAGTTCTGATAGCCTAAAGATAATGTGTCACCAAGAGATTGAATAAATTATCATCTATCGAGAATCGAAAAACAATCTGCACCACCGCTGGGTGATATTCAGTTACTGATGTTTTGACTGGAACCGACTTTAATTGGAGGTGACTCTCTCAAAACTATAATTTTGTGGAGAACTCAGTGTGCTCAAATCGATGCGATTCTAAATATGAGTGGTAATACCACCGAAATGTAAGCGACAATAAAGACCTTTAAGAAAAGAATAACGTATGCATTCAAGCCAATACATATTTTTTCCAATTGTTTTGCTACAGAGAGCTTATTTATCGTGCTTCTTTATTTAATCGAGAATTTTTCCAACAGAGGGGCTGTGCTCGATGTCTTCCATGAAAGGTTGTTGCCTACACTTAGTAATTTCCTAGAAAAAGAAAAAACCTTCTTAGGACGCCTTTTTTCATCTATATAGGAAGCGGCAAAAAATTAAGCGTAGTTGTTTCAATGTTAACAATTTCGTATTAACTTATAGAGAAGCGATAATATTGATAACTCATCGAAATGAATGAATGAGAACTGTTGTCCAAAAAATGTGATATTATTCGAAATATTAACGGTAACTAGGAAGGTTGCAACTAATTCACTTAAATGGAAGGTTTTTTTTTCGTTAACCTTTTAGGAGACTGACATTATCAGTTACGGCTAAGGTATATTTCTGCTGAGTAGCGGTCTTGTTTTGTTAGTTGTAGCAGTGTTTGCTCGAGATATCTGAAAGTAAAAGGTCAAAGTTGTTATGACACTGGAGGTAGAGATAAAATATAGGGGCGGATTTCTTCTCCCTTAATGTTGTTCGCTGATATTCCATCAAATGATACGATTCTTCCACAGAGCAAAAGATATTTTTAAATGATGAGTAACTAAACTTCATAGTTTCAATAGATTTTCTGTTTGCTGAGGTGGTATTTTTGTTTGCACGAACTGAAGATTATAGAGCAGTTGTAGAATTTCTCAGGTAAACATAGTTTCACCGAGAAGACAAAGGACGTCGTACTCGAGAACCATCGTGTTATGTTAAGTGAGCGCATAAGTATTCAATACAGGAAAAGAATACAGGAATACAGGAAACTGGAATATAAGAAGAAGGGAGAATGGGTAGAGAGTATCCAGAAACATCTGGATTATCAAGATGTAAAAATATGGCTCATAAGGACTGGAATAAACTCACAAAGAAGTTGGTGGATAGGAATCAAATTAAGTTGTTCGGAAATGCTGAATAAGTTCAAGAAACGATAAGGCCGCTCTTAAAAATGTTGTGCCAAAACCAGGTTTCCAGTTCTTTATGGGGCAACGGTGATTTTTTATCTCAATGAAACCAGTGCAAGGAATTTTTCAAATTGATTTCAATGGACACGATATATAGCATATTTAAGGGCAACGTTGTGGAGATGATTGTATGTGCTACAGGATGGCCAACACCAACTGTGAAATGGTTTAAGGTGGGCTTAAATTCAACTTGTCAATACGAGGAATATGTCATCTATTCCACAATTCTATTTGTTTCTGTATATTTCTTCTGCTGTTTCTTTTTCTTAATTTCGGAGGTTATCGTCTTTCCAGGACGGTAAAGAGATCGTAAGTGATGGACCCACTGGTCATAGGGTGATATTCACAGATGAACGAGGCATACATCATCTTGTGATACTGAATGCGTGAGTATCCAGTTCCAAAAATGAGATATATAAGGAATAGAGAGAGAACAAAAACGTTCGGCGTTGACAAATTGTATTGTGAGGGGAAATGTGTTCCATTGCATGCATATCATCGTAGAGGTGACGTTTGAATGAGAGCTCCTTTGTCTGATAACTTGTAGAAGCCCACCATTATATCAGGTCAGCGTTTTAATCCTTCCAAACCAGTTGGGCACAGTTTGCCGATCCCGAAGTGGTGGTGGGTTTTGTTAGCTCTGCACGTGAAAACGAGCCAATGACTACACATGCATTGCACAGGACTTCTAACCACTACAACATGCGCCGAACGCTTTATCCTTTATTCTAAGATATATGATTATACTAATTTCAAGAATAGATATAGAAAACGATTTCAGAGGTCCTGATGACGAGGGTGACTACTCATTAGAAGCCACCAATAGGCTTGGAGTAGCTCGAACTGAAGGTGTATTGAGTATAGTTCGGCCAAGGCAGTTTGATGGCTATGAACCTGATGATAGGTATGAACCGCTTTTTTTTAATTCGCTAACGTCTGAAGAAGTCATTGACATTTCTGAAGCCATCGCATTAGAGTTTAAAGGAAATTTTCATCCATACGTTGTGGTTAAACGGATTCAAATGCTCTTTTATTCCATACTTATAAAATTTAAGTCGTTTTGACTTTATCAAGCTGACATATTTTTGTCGATAAGTTTAGCACACCAAGATCAAGTTAAGTACCATTTCAAATATGTCATATGCATGAAGTTACCAAAATTCATCGGTCCTCTTTATTTTAGTGCTCTTGCCACTTTGTTTTGCTCAGATGTTCTAGTCTTGGAACTCGAAAGAGTTATAGTTAAGTTAATCGATCCATGAAAAAATCTGTATTGGATCTTAATTTAAAAGCATAAATTTGACGGAACTCGGTCAAGTAACTACAAGGAAGTTTTAGAATTCCTGCCGATTTCGAAAACATCCGCCTGTTTCGTTAGTATCCCTGTAGATTGCTTTGAAACTTACTATGTTCTCTTTCGGTAGATTCCATTAAAAACCGTAGAATGATTATTAAATAACAACGATTCTTCAGGGGCGGTATGCCGTTCCCACCAGGTTTCGTGCGCCAGTTGAAGAACAAGCATGTGTTTAATCGGATGCCGACGATCTTTGACTGTCTTGTGGTCGGCTACCCACCTCCAGAGGTAGAATCTTCGTTGAAAATTTCCATTACTCGTATAATTCCTTTAAACGTACGACATCTCCAGCTATCCATTTATGTCTGGTGAGTGGTTGCTTTGGGAAGGGAAAGGTTTATAACGATAAGATATATTTCAGGTTGATTGGTTCCACAACGGAACAAAAATCACTCCTGGAGGTCGAGTTAAGATTCAGGTTAGTATTAGGCGAATCAGTTTAGTTTTGCATATTACGTATGTAGACGGCGTTCTAATGGATTATACATTTCTGTGGAGCATGGGAAGCGTAGTAGCAAGAGCTTTGAAGTATATGTGTGGTCGTTAGTTGGACTCTAAACCGAGCAAATCAGCCAAGACATCCTTCCGGCCGGAAAATATCTAGTCGGATGGCTGATTCCGATCGTTAAACCCCGACAAATATCTTTGACGAACAATTTGGGACTCTTTAACAGGGCTAACACAGGAGTCGTTTCGACCAAAACTCAGTGATAATATCCGTGAGGATGATGCCAAGCCTGAAGTAGCAGTTCGACGTATAGTGAGTTCGAAGACCACTGTGAATGACGGATGCAAGAGAAAGAATGGAGTGAAGGAAGCGCTGGCATCCGTACAATATATGAAACGTGTGCATAAGTGTGGTGATTCTGTAATAATTTTATGACTACCTTGAGACAATCTTAACCCTTTTATTTTACTGCCTACGGGTGATTGCTGATGGCAAAAGATCGATAGAATTAGCTGAGAGACAAGCAAAACGAAGGACTCGGTTGATGTGGTAGTGAAGTGCGCTACTCCCCGATAAGGACAATAGCGCGCGTTCGTTCCCCACCGCATACACCTGCGGTCCGGAGTTTTGCAATTATCTCAGCATTATATACGAGTTATACTTTGAGACAATTAAGAAATTATTCGTTGTATAGGGAGTGCGACAAGACTTCAGGACCCACTCATTACACTTTATGGGTCCTCAGCTTGATCATTCGTATAATGCCTTGAAGTTTAACACAGTTTTTGCTTGAGCAAAATATTGATGAGTTTTAAAGGCGTGTGGTGGAGGTTCACATGCGTTGATCGTCCTCGACACCACCCTTGACGACATTGGCGAATACATGGCTGTCGCCAGAAACTCCTACGGAACTGCCACTTCGTCGGCGATTCTCGACGTCACCGGTCCGTCTACTTATGTCCTAGTGAACTTTTTGAAAACCTATTTAATAACGTGTAACATGAGATTTCTATGGCACGAGATGCATAAAAGCGAAGGTAAACGATTGAAACAACAAAAAAATGAAGAGAAAATGGTTTATAGAGCAGAAGAGAGCTATTTTATGAAGCCATCTGTCCAGGTTTTCAGTGTAGTTCCGCCGTTCTATTATTTTTGAAACTACAGTTGACTTGAATTTAGTACCCTACCTTGACAACATCAAGTTCAATGGTGAAGTGGATGTGACACCATATCTTACCGAAGAGTACGGCTTCAAAAAGCCCAACTATGCTAGTAAGTCAATTGTCAGTCGTTCAAACTCAACATCGAATTGTTGCAGTAAATTCAGGTGTCCTTTGTTATATTTCATGTTTATGACAATAGGAAATTGCTGAGGTGGAATTGTACCAGCTTTTAGACGAATACAATTCCAGTTTATTGCAACAAACCTTCTAGGTTATCACTTCAACGCTCTAAGCACTATTAAAAATATGGTTTTGGAAATCATCCCTATTTGTCGCCTTCTTTGTCGATTGTTAAAAAGAAGTAGATATGTCGATATTTCGATATTTGAGATATGTCGACTACTTGGCCTAAGGACAATTTGAGTAATAGTGAAAGTAGATATGTGGAGAAAAATTACAATCAATTAACGTTTCGAAGTCGAAGAGTTATTTTGACGAATCTAGTTCATAGTTGTTTTGAGTCCTTCATGTCCATATTTCATTTTTTCGCCATACGTGAAGGTAAACCTTCCAGATCTACCGACACCACCAGATCGTGGCCCATTCATTAAAGAGGTCACCGGCCACTATTTGACTTTGTCATGGATTCCAACTAAGCGAGCAGCACCACGATATCCACAAGTTTCATATGTTGTTGAGATTCGTGAACTACCCGAAAAGGATTGGACAGTGGTTAGACATTACTTATCATTAAATATTTCGTTAGTTTTTTTTCTTAGCTTTTTTTCTCAGAGATATTTGTCATTTTTTAAAAAAAAAGAAGCTTTATAACTATTATATACTTTTTGTTTTCCAAAGAATGTGTAGTCAACGATGTTGTTATTCAACTATAACCACCACAGCGAAGCTGACTGATTCATCTCATTATTTCTTTATTTTTAGCTGTCTATTGAAGCTAAATGTTGATAAAGCGAACTAATAACTCCATATCATCCAGAGGATTGATGCCTGTCTTTCACAACTTTTACTATTTCTAGCTTGACTACAACATTCCTGAACCAGTGTGTAAGGTGCGGAACCTCGAACTAGGCAAGTCGTATCAGTTCCGCGTCAGGGCTGAGAACATCTATGGAATTTCGGACCCATCGCCTGCATCTCCTCCATCGAGGTTAGCACAACGTTTAGTTATGGTTGAGCTGGTTTCCTCTCATATTGGTGAAGACATTTACCTAGCATTACAGCGAACGTTTTTGAGTTTCTTCTTCGTTCCTGAACTACTTGACGAAACGGTAAAAAGGGCTTTTAAGAGAAAATTAGACATCTGTAGCTTATTAAAGCTGTCTCCACCGAAATGTTGCCTTAACGCGTTAAAATTGGTGTAGTGTTAGTAATTTAAACTTTTAACAGCAAAATGAGATAACATGTGATTGTTTTTTTTTCTAACAAAGGGAACCCAGTACTCATTGGGAGGATTTGTTAGGTGAATTACCGATGGTATTTGGCCACATTAAAGTAGGTTTCTCAGAAAGAGTCAAAAGGAATATTAGTTTTTCAAAGGATAAATATAGCACAGCTTCAATCTTTTGGTGTGTAAATTGAAAAGAGAAACTCCAGGGGCAACACTGCGAATACCAATTAGTACTAAGTTATATGAATTTCCAAAGTTAAGGCTAATGGCACCACCGCAACCTGTTCTGGACAAGAAGACAAAGAAGGTGATCCCGTTGCTAGATCCGTACGCCGAAAAGGCATTGAATCAGGCTCATGCTGAGCAATACGGTATGTCCATTTGTATTCTAAAGCCGCCATTCCATTCGTTGCTTAACAAGGAGTACTATAGGCCCAGAACGAATTTTGAAATTCCACCTAGAAATGTCCACAAATCGAGGAACTGCTACGTTTTCTAATGAGCAACATTTGGAAGCAGTTTAATAGTTGTTAACAGAAAGCCTGCAATGTAATGTGTTCAGTATATGATATTCTGATGAGGAACCATCTGTTCTGCTCGATGCAAAAACTCTGATATAATTGGATGATAACGTGTTCCAATAAATGACGGTATTTGGAACTTCATGGGCGCGTGTGGCTGGAAAGTTAGAAGCGCCAATGATTGGAAGCGCCACTGCGACACACGCTTGGAATCGATCCCGCGCCCATGGCTCACCAAGTCTTCCATCACTTCGGGATCGGCAAATTGGTACCAGACTTGTCTGGGATGATAGCACAAATGGCTCGATACATCGGTGGGCCACCGCGAGTCATTGTAAAGGCCAGACCAGATATGCATTCAGTCACCGCCAACGATAATTAAGGAAGTCGAATGCATGATGCACCCCTCAGGGATTGATCAGCACCGAAAGCTTTTGTCTTTTATTTGGAACCTCAGCGTTCCGAATGTTAGCGCGCATTAGATTAGCATAAATCCAAAATATTGCCGTAAAACTAGTAGTAAACTTGCCTAAGGAGGAGAAGATTTGTGTATAAATTGTCTGGAGAGGATAATTTTGTTTTCCTGACAGTTCTTATGAAACACGGTTCATATGTTATTCTCGTGTTTATCAAATGTCCCCCTTACAGCTTGTGCTCCATGGTTTGTTCCTGGAGTGGTTGAGAAGCAATACTGTGCTGAGAACGACACTTTGACGATAACATTGAACGTTGCCGGTTATCCAGATCCTGAGATCAAGTGGAAGTTCCGAGGTGGGTGTACAACTTCGAGTTAACTCTCTCGTACAGATTTCGTTAATACGTGACCTAAAACATAGTCGAATTTGGCCTTCTTGTATTCTCCTCTGTTCTTTCATTATTTTCTTCATTTTAGCTTATACTACATTTTACAATGAACAAATAATTACATTGTCAGGCAGTGTAGAACAGTTCTGAGATTTTGTAAGATTTGTTTGGAGCCTCCGTTGTTTCTGAACTTGACGCAGCATATCGGAGAAACGGAAATGAAAAACTTTGTTTTTACTATTCGTTTCGAGGAATACCCATATTTGTAAATCCGAGTCCTACAAACGGAAATGGATACAAGTAGTTTGCCGAGCTATACCCACATTAGAAGGGGAGCTTATTTTTTGTTGTTCACTAATCGACTACTGTGTACTTACCACTTACTGGACTGAAGGCTTTTGTGGTACTTACGTTTACGGTACAATCTGCATTCATGCGCATACGATCAGAGTCGCTTGATAAAGTCCCATTGGCTTTAACGCTATACCACCTTGCACCTGGTATTGTGGGTCGTAATGTCATGTGACCAAAAACAACCTCTTTTTCAAAAGTTTCCGGATCAGTATAAGTAAACAAATAATACAACTTGATTCGCTCTTATTAGCGTGTTTTTTTAAGTGAAGTATCTAATCTGTATTGAAGAAGTAGCGCCTCATTTTCAAATGTTTTCGTAGGTCGTTCTCTGATTTAGGATGGTTGAAGGTTTTTGTTTTTGTTGCGTTTTTAGTTTACTTTTTGAACCCAGTTTGAGAACAATCAATATATTCAAGCGAACAATTTGATACACTAATAAAGGATTCCGTGATCGGACCATCTTATTTCCAGGATGGGATATCGACACTTCCAGTCCGACTTCAAGGTGTAAAGTCTACACCGTTGGTGGAACAGAAACCACACTTTTGATTAATTCGTTCAATAAGGTGAATGAGTTCAGGACGTTGTCTACTTTATTTTTCCTTATTCATTTTTCCTTATTGGTACTCATCGTATTGATGTTTTCTTCGCATTTTAGTTGTTTAACATTTTATAAGTCCCTATTTTGGATACCAGTAGTATTATTGAAACTGTGGGATTGAATGTAACAACTTGTATTGCGATATTTTCACCATGAATTTACGAAAACTTTTTGAATGTGAGAAGAGAACTTGATGAATTAGTTGCCTTGAAGATATCAGCCCTCAAAGATTACCTATTGAGTTGGGCCCAAGGGATAACTTTCAAGCAGAAGTGCATAAATCTGAGTAATATCTTTTATCACTCTTTATGGAGGAAGGAGGCCAATGTTTACTGAATATGCAAAAAAAATTGTCGTCTTTCAGGATAATGTGGGTCAATATCAGTGCTTTGCCACTAATCCATATGGTGAGGCTCAACAGAATATCATGGTCGATCTTGCAAGTGAGTCTGAGTCTCATCATCATATAAGCTCTGAGTCTCATTATTAACGGTTTCAAAAGAAAAAAAAACTATTTTAGAAATTACTGTAGTTCGGACTCTACAATAACCAAAAAGCCTTCGCAGGTTGCCAAAGCTTTGTTGTTGGATGAAGACCATTTCAATAATAGAACTTTGAGTCACAGAATGTTACACGGTCCTCATTAGTTCCATCCCATATGGGTCATGTGATAAATATGTGAAAATCAAAGAACTATTTTAAGTAATTTTAGCGCAAATTCGCTGTTAGATTTTCCTGAAGACTCTCTGACGACCTGATTAGCTTTTTACTTAACATTATATTAGAGAATTCTTTGAAAATAAGACTTCGTATTACTACTTTTAACTACAATTACAGTTCGTCCAACTTTTATCCAACCACTCAACAATCGAACTTTTTCCGACAAACAACCGATGAGGCTTGACGTACGCATCGAAGGCGAGCCATTCCCGGAACTCAAATGGTTGAAGGTAATGTTTATAGTTCTGTCGTAAACATCAGGGAGTTTGAAGTGTGGTGGTTAGCGGTGCCATTCAATACACACCTTTTCGCTGCTTCTACCATGCGCATCGGATAAATCAGGTCATATATCCTTTTGAAGTTGACAAATTGGTACCAGATTTCTCGGGGACGATTGGAACACTGACTTGATGCATCTATGAGCTCCAACTCAAGTGATTTATTTGGGCCAAGTATGCATCCAGTACCTTTTGCAATGCTTGAGAAAGTGGAATGCGTAGTACCTCCGTAAGGGGTTGATCAACCCATAATACTTTATCTGTTTTAGTTTGTCCAGTTCCAGTGCTTGCTTCGAAAATTAAGACATTTATTTGACCTTTCCTGGTTTCAATTTTGGAAATCAAAGATATTGAATGGTCTACTATCTTCATGTTATGCTCTTCATTATGTTTATTCCACTTTAGAACGTACTAAATAAAAAAGCAATTGTAAAAGGTTTCCTAAATTCTACAGGCAGGTAACATATGTTTCCTCTAGGAATGGCGACCGATAGTTGAGTCGTCGCGGGTGAAATTTGCACAAGATGGTCCTTACCTCTGCTCGTTGATCATCAACGAACCGATGTGGCGAGACAGTGGTGTCTACACGTGCATCGCCGTAAACGCCGCCGGCCAGGCGACCACCTCCTGTTCGATTACAGTAGAAGGTAATGTTGATTGTGCTATCGCATACTCAAATTCATTTCCTTATCGTTTTGTAGCGCGAGAGCGAAATTATTCAACATTTACTGAATAAGTATTAGAACGCACAAATAAAAAGGAATGCGCAGGCTAGTCTAGAAAAGTGCTTCTACTTAATACGATGAAAATTGCTTGTTTTTAACATTGGTCCGTATTGTTGGTTCATTTGATCACTTCTTATGAAGCACATTCTTAACTATCAATCAAACTTTGAGTTTTTAAAACTTCGACTATCGACTTGCGACTTTTTCTCTAAACTTCATTCTAACCGTTATCATATTGGATGATGGTGGTCGGCTAATCTTAGGAATTGGTGCGGCTAAAGAGATCACACTTTTTCATTGGAGGCCTAGTCGCTAGGCGGTTAACTTCCCCGCTAACCGCAGTGATGTGCTAATGCACGTGGTGGGCGTAGTGGTTACCTGCGCACTAGTGTGATCTTGAGGTTGTAGGTAAGACATGCTTAACTATCATCCACAATGTCCGTGAGGAGAGGCGAGGCGACGATAGTCTTTTGAATGCACATCCAAATCAAGACCTTTCCATCTGGATGGATGTCGATTGCAGGATAATGATACCATTGGAAGAAATGCTGAGGATGCACGAATGTCTTTTTGTGGCCAACAAATTTAAGGTTTACTCATTAAAAATGAGGCTCCATTGTAATCTGAATCCATAATGCATATGAAATAATTTATGATTTCAGTATTGTGTTGAAGTTGAATGAATGTGCACTAATAAATTATAAGTAGAAACAACTATGAATGGGTGTGACGCAGTGGCTGGAGGTAACGTGAATTACGTATAGGATCGGTCTTTGCTTCGATCCCACGCTTCAATCCCATCAAACCTTCCATCCGTCCGAGTTCCGCACGCATCGGTAGACCACCTATGGTTGTTTAACTCAGATAGGCAGTCAACAACATACACTATATTACGAATGCAGTTGAATACATGGCTCATCGCTTAGGAATTTATTAGTGTCGAAAGCTTTTTCTTGCTTTTTAAAGCCAGTTATATTGATGTCGATTAATTGCTTGATTTCAGCCGATGGTGATTTTAACGATGTCGAACTACCAAAAAAGCGGGCAATGGTGGAGGCGCGGAAAATCCACGAAATCTACGAAATTGCTGAAGATGATGAAACGTGATTATTTCGTGTCTAGAACGCCGTCCATTCGTAGAAAATATACAAATATAGACAGATTTCTATCTACGTATGCATGTGTATATATGTGTATGATGTGCTGCTTCATAATCGTCTCTCATCTATTCTGTTGCTACTCGTGCTGCTCAACTGGCGTTCGATTTGTAATGCGATAGATGTTCACAACATCTTTGGTATCATGCATATATTTATGCCAATTTCTGTCCCCTTTCCTCACCGATTATCGATTAATGCTTAAGATTCAATCAATGCACAGCGTATCCCATCTTCTTCCATGTACATTCTTCAACTGTATCACTCTTTCATTCATGGAATTCTCTATATGACTACACATACAGTACTCTTTACTATTGCTGGAGACGTCGCGCGTGGGTGGTCAAGTGTGGAGGAGAATCCGTTCACTTCCATTACTGTGATCCTCACATTCTTTCGAACATCGCTTATGTCGAATTCTATTGGTCAACACTGTCATTTTGAATTTGATGTGATTTTATTGTAAATCTTATGCTGTCACACTGCCCTAGTCTTTGTATGTAAACCCGTGGATATGAGAGCAATTTTCCGAACAGTGATGGGCTGTGTGGCAGTGATTTTTATCTTCATTCTTGTCGTGTGCCTGGATGAGATTGCTTGCGCCCGGCCGCGCAGCTTCTCTTTGGTGGTTCATCGATAAATTGAGACTAATCAACAATTGTCTGTGTTGGTCCTCGTCATGTAACACAATTATCGTGGTAAGACCTACCACGATGAACATTGTCCATGTGTGCGTGTACGGTGGTTTTCGATCGAGCCGAAGAGGAACTTCCGAGTCTGAATACCGGTTCTTCAAAAGACTTCGTCTCGAAGGTACGGCAGAACGGATGGTGTGCATTTTTACTTGTCACTACACCGGTCACCAATCATCATCATCATCAATCATCACATCAGAGAACAGATATCGACTTTTTGTCGATCGAATAGCAGTGGCGATTTTATTCTATCGTGTGTGTTAGAATGGGTGCAGATCTAATTTTTCTTTTTCTGCAGTACCAATGCAATGGATAACCAAATCACGATGATCGATAGAATAGAGTCGTCCTGCCGCACAAATCGTAGATGATGAGAATTTGCGACCGATGTACGATTGACACAGTAAAGATAGGAAGCACAAACCGTTAGCCGCACCGCACGAATACCGCCTAGTGTTGTTCTGACCACAGCTGACCAATAACGTGACACTTCAAGAGTACAAGTGCGTGCGTGCGTGCGTTTGGCGTGCCCCATTTTCGAAATGGAGCGCGTCAGCCGCCCACGAGTGTCGACGTTAGAGGCAGTTTGCTGACTGAGCGGTATTTACAGGCGTGCGGCTAGCGGAGCACCGTTTCGAGTGAAAGAACGAAGAACCGGTAACGAGTTCCTGGCACAATTGAAACCCATCGATGACGCACTACAGAGGAATGTCGACGTATACAACAGTCTCGATCATCCGAATGTCGTACACTTCCATGAGGTTATCAAAGATGGAAATCACGCTTTAGTGGTGTACGAGAAGTGAGTGTGATTAGATAATTGTGAAATTTTATTACAAGGGTGTCAAAAATCCTCGATTCTCCGGATTTCGCGTAGAAGGTGGTGGGAGAGGAAACAAGTTGAGTTCTCGAATCGGTCGAAGGCAGACTAATAACTTTTGATAATTACTGAAAATGAAGAAGGTGGAAGATTGCGGTCAAATACATTACGTATTCTCATTGTAAAAGTGAATAATGGTGTTAAATGTTGAAAAGGAAAACCAAATTTATAATACTTAATTATTCAACTTCACCATAAAATAAAGGATAAAGCTTTCGGCGTTGATCAATTCTTGAGGGATGCACCATGCATCCGATTTCATTAAGCATCGTTTGGAGGTGATTTAATTCATATCTGGCCTTTACAATGACTCGCGGTGGTCTACCTATGTATCAAGTCAGTGCTGCTATCCTCCCAGACAAGTCTGGTACCAATTTACCAACCCTGAATGAATGGATGGCTTGGTGGGCCATGGGCGCTGGGATCGATTCCACGTGTGTGTTGCAAGGCGCCTCCGACCACTGCGCCACACCCACTCTTAACTTAACTAACTTCACCATAGCAGCTGAAATCCTCTAGAAAATTTTATCGGATTCTTCCTTATTGGAGCGTTATAGGAAACAGCCATGATAGTGTAATATCCCAAGAAAAATTCTTGTAGCATTAAACTTGTGAGATAACATCAGTGAAAGTGTATGCCTTTCTTTACAAGAGGATTTATGCAAAAAATGTAATAGATAGGTAAGTGCTGACTATTGTTATAGGATATTCTTTTAGAAGGAATCCAGGAATTTAAGTTATAGTTCTTATTTCTTACATAGGCGATGCACTGAAAGTTTCGATCCATCACACCTATGCTATTTAATGCAACGCTTGAGATGATTTCTTGGGAAATTTTCTGTCTAACTCTACATTCCAATTCTTTCGAAAAGTTACTGTATGTTCTTAAACATAAAATAGCTTATTGAGTAATACCTTTTTACTTGTTTGAGTAAGAAGCTTAGAGGTTTATGGTTATAATTGAGCTGCCAATGCGAATCAATGCCAGGACACACGTGGCCGTTGGTTTGACCCCTCTTCTTGGGTTAACGAAGTCTTCCATACCTTTGGAGTTGGGAAATTCGCTTGTTTGAAAGGACAAAAAAAACCATGAAGTTCATTATTCATTAGCAGGCCCAGAACAAGTCACTGTATAAAGCAAGTATGCATTTAGCAGCCTATACAATTCCACGAATGGGATCGAATGCATGGATAATTCTGAAGAAATTAATCAATGCCTTATGCTTTTGTCATTCTCATCCATAGGCACTTTACAAAAAGTCGAACCATTGTGGGCCAAATTTGCTTTTGTGGAAAGGATAACGTCATTTCTTCGTACTTTAATTGTGTGTAATCGAAGGAAAGATTTCATGTCTCAAAATCTCTTTTCACTATGCGATTTGAAATGTTGTAACTGGCTTCTGAGTGGCTTTGCCGCCCACTTCAGTTGAGTGCCTACGCAGAAACAGCTGCGTCTGGCGAACAATGGTAGTCTAGAAGAAAAGCAGTTGCTTAGAAAATATTAGGACTGGAGATCTATTTCAAAATCGTTTACATCAAACATTTCCGCTATATATGTAGGAGATTGGTTTGCTTTTAGGTAGAACGTTTGTTTGTCTTCAGATACCTGAGGAATTGAGTTTTGCGGATTAAAATTCGAAGGAGTTTATAATACGACCATTTAAAAGTTCACAAAGTAACCTCGAGTGTGCTCCATTTTGTACCAAAAGAACTTTTCAGATTAAAGTAAATGCCTTTGTTTAAGGAAGTTTGAATAAGTTATACGTGGCTTGAATATTCCTACAAAATCTGTTGTAAACTGAAGTCGGAAATGAACTAGAACAACGACAGCGTTTGTCTGCAATAGTCAGTGCTCTAGGAGTACAAAGCTTTTCATTAATCATTACCATCTCATTAGGTAATGAAACAGAATAATGCAATACAATATTGCCTAAGTTGTTCATAAAAGTGTAAACTACTTCAATTCAATGAAAGAAATTATATGATCTAGATAGGGACTCAAACGGTCTCTTAAAATTAGCACTCACCAATTGGGTCTTCGTAGCTCAGATTATCGGAGATGATCCCGTCCTCATTGGCCAGCAGGGTTCATTTCGAGGAATAAACATCGATAGGCGGAGAGAAGACGACAGATGGACGAGAAAAACATTAGAGTGGATTCCGACAATCAAAATCACCTCGAGAGAAACTGCGAGAAGCACTGCAACGATATAAAATAATTCACCGGCTGTTCTATATTCACAGCTGGAATTAACTTCCAGACCTTTAAGGAGTCTCCGAACCTATGCACGAATGCGAGCTTTTCCAGGAGTGGAAATTGAATTCATACCTTAGGAATATGGCACAAACCTGAGCGACGTTGTAAGGCAATGAAATGAGTGGAAGACAGATCGTCTAAAGATGTAATTAAATATCAAAGGTGCCAAGATTCGGTCTGTATCTATCAGATATTCAAGCTTCATCGCCTAACTTCCGCATATAATGAACGTTGGAGCGTTAAAGGGCAAACTTTCCGACTTAGGTCTATTCTTTAGGAATGTTCCATGCATTCCAATCCACTAGATATCGTAGAAGATGGGTCGTAAAGATCGTTGCCAAATGCACAATGCAATGAGCGATTTCACGTAGGTGAGTCGGTTACAAGGAGCAGGAATTGTTTTGAAGGCGTATGCGCAAACATTGCCTAGTACCGGTAGCTGGCATCATTTTTTTGAAGCACCACCCTTTTCTTTATAGAAAAACATATCTGTTTATTTCATTTCCACGATCTATAGATCATATTGCATGGACCAAACTAAGCCTTATATAAAAACTGGTCACTTTTAACCCTATGATAGAAATTTTACAACCAACAATCATTTTATACCGGTAGCATTGTTCTGAAAGTTGCAGCACCCATGGTAGACTGTAGTATCTCTATTTAGGCAAATTTTAATGTCTCTAAGGTGTGAGAAATAATACGTGTTACTATTCTTGTCAACGCGTCTAAAATGAGAAGATTCTTTTGAGCAGCGAACTATTACTTTGAGATTTCTATAAAGTATTCGAAATAAAAACGATCCGCATGCTGTAGCGGTTAGGGTGCCCTTCAGGTGGATGTTGGTTCGATCGCGTGCATTGAACTAACTAAACCCCCCAACTTTTCGAAGTTGGAGAACTAGCACCAGACTTGTCTAAAGTGGTGGAAGAAGTAGTAAACCTATTAACGGTACGTCGAAAGCAAGTAGTTATATAAGCCAGGTATGCACATAATCACTTATACCATCGAATGCTTAGCCTATCAACCCGGATCAACGACTTTATATCATATTCCTTTATTGAAAAGAAGAATGAACTCGTCTTACATGCATCAAAATCTCAACTTCCGTTCGATGAGGTGATACCACACTTTTTAGGAACTCTGTTTATAGTTACTTTATGTCTTCTCATACCTATCTGTTTATTTTTATAGCTATGTATACGTACGTATTAATTTTCGAGCAGCGATATAAGAATGTCACTGTTGAACATGTCGTAGTAAGGACTACGATATTAATGAAAGGAGATCTGGTAACTCCTCAATATTTCACCGCTTCTTGGCTATTCGGTGCTTGTCCCACCTTGAAAATGAAATTAAAATTTTTGGTAGGAAGCTCAGAGCAAATCACCTCTATCACCTGTATCACCTGTATCACCTGTAGTCCCGTTGATCGTCGAGTGATTCGAGCGGGCGCCAGTAAATCTTCCAATTTTATGTCTCATGCAAGAGTAGCCCAGTGGGTTCTGCTCGCTCTAGGGTCTCGTCGAGCATCATATCTTTCTTCAGGGCTCTTTGTGAGGAACTCTGACCATCGGGTCAGTGGTCTTCCTGCAGTACGTTTGACATCCCGAGGAATCCAGTCACTAACGGCTCTTGCCCATCGGTTGTCATTCATACGCATTACATGTCCGGCCCACCTTATCTTCGACTGTTTGGCGTACAGAACGGCATCTTTGGTTTTTGATCGTTGACGCAGATCGGAGTTTCGGATCCCATCCCTAACTTGTATGGAACGGGATACTCCTAACAACGCCCTTGCGACTGCGCGTTCGATAACACTGAGCGATCTATCATCCTGCTTACGCAACGACCAGGTTTCTGACGCATACATTAGGCCAGAAATTACAGTTTAGTCGAAAAGATGGGTACGGAGTCGGGTGTTCTTTGTTCTCTTCACCACATCGTCGATCCAGCAAAGCGAAGATGGTGTAACTGTCGACCATCGATTTTCACTCCCATATTATCCTATTCCAATGTTCGCATGACGTTCTGGAGGGTGGCGGTGAATAATTTTGACGAGATGATATCGCCTTGCCTAACTCCTCTTTTGTCGTCAATGTTAATATCGTTGTAGAACAGTGATATCTTGGTTGTGAAATTTTTGTACAGCACACGAGGAATCTTCATGTACTGAGTAGAGACTCGTTGACTATCAAGGGCTTCCAAGACTGCTTCTATCTCAACTGAATCAAAAGCCTTCTGTAGATCGATGAAGGTGAGACAGAGCAGTCTTTTGTACTCTCGCGATACTACAGTGAGCCGTGTTACCTTATGGTTGTGGTTCATCGTACTAAATCCTTTTCGAAACCCTGCTTGCTCACATGGCTCTCCTTCATCTAGTGTTCTGTCAATCCCTTTTAGGATGACTCGAGTGAAAAATTTGTAGACGACAGACAGTAAACAGATTGGGCGATAGTTGCCGAAATCACGCAGTCACCCTTCTTGAACAATAATTGTCTTCCACTGAGTAGGGATCTTGCATTCAAACAGGTAACGTGTGAAGAGCCGAGCCAGTGTGTTTACGAGAACTGGCGGAAGGTTCTTCAGGTGTTCTGGTCTTATCCTCTCCGAACCTGGTGCTGTTTGATTTTTCATCAACGAAATGGCATATCGGATTTCGGAAGGGAGAACCGGTGGTACAACATATCGATCCTCCTTTATTTCGTATGACAGATGGTGGACGTGGCTATCGAAGAGATCCGAGTGGTATTCTGAATGAATTTCTCTATTGCCTTTCTGGACACTGTAATTGTTCCTTTTGCGCGCTAGAGTGCATTCATTTTGGTCTTGTAATTGACGAGGCTTCGGTGGGCCTTGCGAATGCTTTTCCAAGCCTCTGCAGCTTCGACCATTACTCCTTCCCTTCTCTCTTTAAGATCTTTTATCGCCTGTCTGCATGGTTTTGCAAGTTTGGACGTTAATTTGCGGTTGTCTGCAGCTCGTGCGGTTCCGCGCTGGCGTGTTAGCTCGAGTGTTTCTGGAGACAAGCGTCTCTTGGTGACTTTCGAACTATCAGCTTACATAGCGCTAACGTGAAAATGTTGAATGAGCCGATCGCATTCCTCGTCGATGTTATCGACAACGGTAACTTCCCGTCAGCCGTCTAATGAGTTGAATAAGTTCCAGTTTGTTGTGGTTCTGAGACCCCGGTTTTGGAATTTAGAGGCTTTTTCTCCCTTCTGCGAGAAATAGAATCTTGCACGAAAGAGACGATGGTCTGATCCCGTGTAGAATTTTGGGACAACGGCGTCATCAGTTACGCTTTACTACGATGTGGTCTATTTCGTTATAGTACTCTCCATTGGGAGGCTCCCACGTCCAGTGTTGAGGGGGAGCTTCTGGAATTGCGAGTTACCATGGATGGTTTTGGTTGCCATGGTAAACTCAGATAATCACTCATCCTGTTCGTTCCATTTTAGTCCATGGGTTCCAATGTGACTTCAGACGTTCTTCTTGGTCCAATCTTGGCGTTGAAATCTCCAATGACCTTGAAGAATGTGTGGTCTTCTCTGTAGAACTTCTCGAACACCATATAGAACGCTTCGACTTCTTTTTCGTCGTAGTTTGATGTCGGCGCGTAAACACCGAAGATTGTCAAAGGATCCACTTTTTTTAATCGTAAACGTCCGATTCGGGTTGTAAGCTGTTCGAATGAATCGATGTTCATAGACAAACTCGTGTTGACGAGAATGCCTACACCGCCGACTCCCTTACTGTCGCATGTTCCGAGGAACACTTCTTCTTCGGTGTCATAGACGGCGTTGAAAGGCTGGCGTCTTCTCGTCTCGACCAGGCCGATGACGTCGTACTTTATCCTTCTTGCTTGCATGAGCAAGTCTTCTATCGAGGACTCGGATGCAAGAGCGTTCATTGTATGTACAGATCGTCACCATAGTTCTTTGAAATCCAGGCAGCTTCCATTGGTCCTGAGTTTTTAGCAGCCTCTCCCTCGTCCTACCCAACGCTGGGGGCTCTTTCGAGGTCAGAGGAATGAGGCCCGTTTTTTTTTTACTGTGTTTAGCATTTTTGATACCCACGTATACCTTACTGGGCTGTCAACATGGGGGCTAGGTATACTCACGGGCTGCTTGCCTGGCTCTCCCAGAGTGAACATGAAGCTTATTTGTTGGAGGCAACTCCTAACCGCCCTCATATACTTCCCTGTGACTTGATTGCAGGCTTTTGGCCGAAATGACTCGTAGAATACACTCCGCATAAGCGCGAACGCACCCACACACGCAAGCATGGATACGCCTAGCAAGTACAGAAATTGTGCGCCAAATCGGCGCTACAGAAACAGGAAGTCCATCTTTTGGGTCCACTTGCATCTCAGGGAAGCAAAGATTGCTTTTGGTCCACGATTAACCCCCTATTCGCCGCCTGGGAATGAGCCACGTGGGCTCGCGACTAACGGGCTCGAGATCCCTCATATGAAGGAGATCCGTGACAGAGTAAATCAGTTACAGGATTCACTGCGATCATGCCAACGCCGTAGTTACTAGCTGGCAAATGATGCCGATTTGAGAAAGTTTTAGTGAACCTTTTGAGACCATAGGGAAGGAAACCATAACCAACCAATCACTAATTTAAATCGGCCATAAAATTTGGACAAACAAACAAATTAATAGTTAAATGGACTGTTTTTTATGTATGATGTATGAGGTTTGTATGTATGAAGAAAAGTAAAAGTATTAAAGTAATCGAAATAACTCAAACGACCGACTTTCTATAAACCTCGGCATAGATAGTTGATATATTTATTTATATGATCTTATGAACTGTTCTTCTTTAACTGATTCGGGGTTGGTACAGGTCTTCGTTGTTGTTGTCGCTGTTGTTGAAGTTGTTGGTCGATGGCTGACGTTTCGGCGACTTCGTCTTCCTTAGAGCTTAGACGTATTTTATATTAGAATACTTTAATTATACGGCGGAAAGAAAGGCTAAGGCTTAGAATCGACCAACAACACCAACAACAACGACAACGACAGCGAAGACCTATACCAACCTCTCATCAGCTAAAGAAGATCAGTTTGTAAGGTCATATAAATAAATATATTCGAAATATATTAGAAAAATAGAACTAGCTGAGAGACAAGCAAAACAAAGGAGCCGGATGGTGTGGTGGTGAAGTGCGCTGCCCCCGGTAAGGACAACAGCGCGTGTTCGTTCTCCACCGCATACACCTGCGGTCCGGAGTTTTGCAAACATCTCAGCATTACATACGAGTTATATTTCGCAACATACCCTGCCGTTAAAAAGAAAAAGGCAATAAATAAAAGGGTTAAGATCGTGATTATAACTAAACCTCAGCTTAACTGGGTTCTATGCCGATTTGGGCTCCCCAGATCAATCCCGTCGACGGGTGATTGCTGTTGGCAAAAAGATCGGTAGAACTAGCTGAGAGACAGGCAAAACAAAGGACCCGGATGGTGTGGTGGTGAAGTGCGCTGCTCCCCGGTAAGGACAACAGCGTGTGTTCGTTCTCCACTGCATACACCTGCGGTCCGGAGTTTTGCAAATATCTCACCATTACATACGAGTTATATCCGAAATAGTTACAAAAGTGCTTTAGTGGTCCATAGTAGAGGTAAAGGACTGACGGAAGTGGTCGTCAGAAAGCAAGGTCACCATAACTCAGATGTTCATTGCAAACAAAAGCAATAAGGGAGACACAACGAGTTGCAGTACTGAATTTGAGCGCCCGCACAGGGTTTAATTAATTGATGGATGTGTACCAAACGGATGGTTCAATTTAATCGAATCCACATGGGCTGTCGTCGATACGGGCTACGACGTGGGTTTCCAACATTATTTCATCGTGCTCTACGGAAGCCCCCACTCACATCACTAATGTCGGCATTGTGTTTTACTTACAATCAAAATAATATCCAACTGAGGTGGGACTTTTCTTAACTGTGATGACTTTTTGTTTTCATATTTCAGCAAACCGAACAATTTCTCTATAAACAACGCCATATTTTTTGGTAAAGATAGATTTCCTCATATTTGCTCTATATTCTTGTTTTTTATCATTTTTCTCGTCTGAAAAACTCTAGGTATCATGCAGTGAGCTTCAAAACCTGCCCTCTTTTCTGAGGTCTCTTTAAGCTCTTTTGGTATCTGAGAAGGCTTATCAAATAGTGTATTGTTGCCATCCAGATAGACGCTTTGGATTCCAGAAAAGAAAAGGGAGGAGCTCGGCAAATAACTAAGTGAGGATAAATGGCAATTTTTTCGATAAGAACGATCACATCTGGAAAGGAATATTGATTTACTGACTAATCCCCAAGTACCGTACTATGCAGTAATCAATGATGATGACTCTGTCATCGGACTTTTGTTAGCAATTCCTTCGGGCAAAATTTGAAGCACAAAGTAGTTTGATCTAGTTATGTGGAGACTTCATCGGTGTGCTAGTCTTCCGAAATGAAGACCAGCTCGTACATACGAAATTGTGAAGTCTTTCGTCAATTAAATATTTTTTTTTGGTACATCTTGTAACAGTTCCCAGGATCGACTTTCTATTAACCTCGGCATTGGAATAAGAATGCGTCGTTTTCTTGTTCAGTGATCGCGAGATTTTTAAACAGCACACATTTAATTCCATAGAGAAACACAATACAATACAAGAGCGGCTGACGCATCGACAGTATCGCCTTCTTCAGCTGTCGATACGTCAGCTGCTGTTGTATCGTATTGTGTCTCTTTCGTCAATCTTTCGATCCAGCTCGTGTTTTGCAGGACGTCCTACCACTCTTAAATATACACTACCACCGATGATCTCGTGAAGGTGACAAAAGCCGTGGACTTGTCCACGATTTAAGCGCGGGA